GCATTTTATTTGTCCCCTCTGGACACCCTGAACTCGCTCGCTTCAGAAAGAATCAAAACCTTGTCTGCTCACCCAAAATCCTCTTCCACAAAAGCCTGCTGCTGCTGCTGCTGCTCCTCCTCCTGAGGACCTGTAATACCTGGAAAGAAAACCAGGGACACCTCCCACATATATCCTGGGATAAGAGTTGCTCTCCCTCTCCCAGGAGGCCTGCAAGGATCCTTGCAAGGTGCTAACACACTGAGGAAAGTCTACAGTGGGCGTCCACTCCTGCTGGGCTCCTTCCTAGCAGATCTACTCCCACCCGACCCTCAGCACCAATCCCTGGGCTCCCGGAGGGCCCAGATTACAGAGCATGGTGCACAGCATACCTGCGGAGATGTAGACCCTCTCTTTCTTCAGCTGTTTTCCAGCCAGCACCAAGGCCTTCCAGGTGTGTGAGTCATCATCAAGGTCCTTACAGTTCCCTTTATCCTGGGTGCTGGAGAGAGCGAAGCGGTGGAAGGCAATAAAGTCCCCTTGACCGCAGCTCTGGCATTTGTGTGCATACCGCTCCAGGAAGGCAGCACACTTGCGGTGCAGGGTCATCCGCTGTTTCTGGATCCACAGCTCATAGGCAGCTTCCCGCAGCAGCGGCTTATGGAACATCAGCACACCAAATGGACACCCCACACTCTGCTTGCTTGGGGGGGAGGTCTCCACACCTGCAAGCCAAAGGGCCTTTGTATGAGCCCAAGCTGCAGCCAGGTAGGGAGCCAGTCATGCCTCGGTGCACATCCTGAATAGCAAAGCAGTGCTGCTGCACGCCAAGCCCTGCAGCATGGGGTGAAAGGGCTGATGCTAGCACAGCCTTGGGGATGCAGTTCTCAGCTGCACTGGTCCAGGCAGGAGCTGGGGATGTTGTTGCCAGCTGAAGCAAGCCCCAGCCAGCACTTTCTCCCCACTCTTGGCAAGGCAGCCACCAGCCTCCTGAGCAGGAGCCCAGCATCACAGGGTAATCAAAGCCCAATAAAAGCTTGCTGAAGACCCTGGGCCATTCTGGAGGGCATCTTTTATGTGGATGCTGCAGGTGGCTGGGAGAGGATGTCAGGAATTCCACTCGTCCCATGCCTGTGCTACGAGCAGCACTTGGATTCAGGGGAGCAGAGGCATTTGGGACAGCTGGTGGGGACTTCCCTCCAGCGCAAACCTAGTGTGCTTTCAGACTGACTTGTAACAGCTTTGACAAACCCATCCCCAGCAGCCATGCCAGCCCTCACAGGGAGGGAATCACACCATGCTCTTAGGAGCCCATCCAGGACACATCTGGGAGCTCCTTGTCCACTCCATGCTACCACTTACCAATCTCTGCCTGCAGAGGGGTGGCTGGCTCCTTGCTAGGATCTTGGACGTCTTCCGGCTCCTCAGTACTCTCCATCCACTTGAGGATGTTGTCACTCACTAGACTGTCCAACAAGGTAGTCATCTTGTGCCTGATGCTAATTGGAAGAATGTATGACAGCAGCTGGGTAGTGAACACCGGCCCGATGGTGGCTGCAAACTTCAAAACAGTCTGCTCCAATGGCTTGATCTCGTCCAGCTCAGCCAGCACAATCTCTGTCAAGGAGAAGCCACACATCTCAATCCTACCTCTTCCCCACGCTGAGGCTGGAGGCACTGCAAAGATTCAACACATGAACAGGATAGGCTTTGGCCCCTAAACTGGCCACTTCTGGGCAATTGCAACCCAGGGTAGGTGTCTGCACAATGGCTCCACACCTACTGGATTTGCAGTTCACAGGGCCTGGGAAAAAGTGAGACACTCAACAGACACACTGCCCCACTGGGATAGGGCAGGATGCAGCAGGTACATGCATCCCACAATGTGCCCTACCGAACCTGGACTAGGCTTTTGCCAGCAGTGCAAGCAGGGAACAGACAACTTTCGCCACCTCAGAGGTGAACTCAGAGCTCCCCAGAGAGGTTGTCTCAACTCGGCCAGACCTTACTATTCTTTTCTTTGAGTTTTCTTCTTGGGTTTCTTTGGACAAAACAACTTAAGAGCAGGAATGTTTCTTCAAGGCTCATACAAGTGGCTACTGATAGACAGGAGGCACACTCAACAATCATTGACAGTTCCCCTGGCGGCACAGCCAAGAGCCAGCAGAGTGGCTCTCTGCCCCTCACCTTTCAAGTTACTGGGCAGCACGGTGCTGTCCAGGTTCACGCCTGGCCTTACAATGCAGATCATGGCCGCAGCCCCTGCGCTGGACCTTGAGCTTGTTGTGAGGGATGACTCCAGGACTGCAAAAGCTAGGTGGAGCAAGAGAGAAGGAATGAGGTAATTTGCAAAGTGACCTGCAGCCTGCAAATGTTTCCAAGCTCACCTGAAATAGCCCAAGGCCCCCTCACACCACACAGTGCAGGTGCACTGACCTGCGTGTGCTGAACATGCTCTCTAAGCAGAGCAGAATAATTTTCACTGGAAGTTTCCTGTGCCTGGCCCTCACTAAAGCTGGAGTTTGCTCTCAGTTAAGCTAGCGTTTGGCCAACGTAAGTTCTCTGTTCATGAGAATGTCTCCGGAACACGTGTGGTCCAGAGCCATTTCCCCTGCGGTTTATCCCCAAGAACTGAGGCCCCTCCAAGCCACAACTTGTGAGCCCCTCCTTTGGCTGTCCTGACAACGAGGCACACAGAAGCCTGTGCCTCTGCCAGGCCAAGTTCTGCATGATCTGCTGCAAGATCTGACTCTGCCCCTAATCCGTGGGGCAGTGAAGGGGCAAGTTTGTGCTGCAGGGAATGCAACACAGCAACTCAGCAGTCAGTGGCTAAGGTTCTTACTGTTCAGGTTCTCCCAGTTGTCGTCTGCTTTTTCACCCCACTTCCTGGTGCAGAACAAGAGCATGTCATTGCAACGAAGGAAGTGCACCAGCTCCTCACAGTAATATGGGATCCCCAAGCTTCTTTGGACCAGGAACCTGGGCAGGAACAGATCCAGCAGTGATCAGCACAAGAAAAGTAGAATCATAGAATGGGTTGGTTTGGAAAGGACCTTAGGGTCGGATCATCTAGTGTCTGCCACTGGCAAGGCCACCTCACTCTAGACCGTGTCACCCAAGGCTCTATCCAACCTGGCCGTGGAACACTCCCAGGGGTGGAGCATTCACCACACCTTTGGACATGTTCCAGTGACTCACCACCCTAAAAGGAAAAACAGTTGAGGTGGGCAGCAAGCCACTCAGGCATAGCAGGGGAGCCAGCATCTTCATCACAGCTACACCTCACTTCTGAAAGGGGGGTCCTCCTGCTGGCTTGTGTTTTTTGGCCCCCCTGAGCCTCCAGCCTTTGCTGAAGTCCGTGGGAAAAGACTTGCAGACAGTGCCCAAAGCACAGAGCAGCAAGCCCTGCCTCTCCTCAGGAGCTTAGGTGCTCTCTGGCAGCAGGGCAGACCTCTGCCCCAGGGAATCTGCCACACAGCCTGGCCACTTAGACCAAGCCCTTTTCACACCCCAGATATGCTTGGCCTTGTGAAACAGCAAAGGGTGGCAGCTCCTATGCTTCGTGTCCAGGGAGCTCCCCTGCTCCAACTCACCTCACTAAAGCCCTAGGGATGCTGACCACTCCAAGGTCCTGGCAGAGCTTCTGCACCACAGCTGAAGGTTGCAGCTTCTCTAGTTGAAAGTAGATGATTTTATGGGACATCAGGTTGTTTGCTGTGGCTTTGTGAAAGCTCTCAGTCCTTGCAAAGCCGGGACATAAGCTCATGACCATGAAGACAGAGATGTTCCAGAGCAGAGGTGCCATGATACTCCAGGAAGCAGGGTCAATGAAATGGGCATTGTCGATGAGAAAGATGGCATTTCTATCAATGGTCTGGAAAAAAAAAGGTTGTCCTGAGGGGATTCCAGTGGATTCTCAAGTGTCTTACAGGGAAGGAGATTTAGCCGCTGCCTCTTGAGAGGATGCTCTCAAGTCTCACCCCAACCAACTCCCTGCTTGGAAGCTTCCCAATTCCTAATTTCATTGAGATTTTCAGGTCACACTTAACATCACCTGCCCTGCAGAAGGAGGGAGCTTGGGCAAGGGAATACAGAATTCTCTCTCCTCCAGGGAACGTTTTAAGGGAGGAAAGTTACTAGTATGCTTGTCTGGCTATGGAGAGAACATGGGGGGTTTCTCAGGCTCTAGAGGGCAATGACCAGGTCCTCCCACTCACTCACACTGCTGTGGCACAGAGCCCAGAGCCAGCAGGGCTGTTTTCCTCCTCTGACCCAGAAGGAGAAAAGGAGAAATGCTCACCTTCTCTAGCACTTTTGCCCAGGTTGAATGTAATTCCTCTTTCCTTTGCATTTCATGCATTTGGCGAACCTTGTCTGAAACAGGAAACTAGACAGAAAAGCAAAGTCAGGGAGAAACATGGCTCCAGGGCTCGCTACACTTACCCACCAAACAAGATGGCAGAGCAAACCCTCTCTGCTCTGCCTCAGCACCTTCCCTCTCCCCAGCATGGGTGCAAGAGGCCACAGTGGGACTTCAGCTAGAGCCTAAAGCAGAGGCTCGGGCAGAGCTGCATCTTGGCAGTGGCCTGAAGAGCTGGTTTTCTGGCTGTGGGTTCTTGGGCTGCCTGGAGCAGAGCACTCACACAGCAATGACCTGAGCACAAGGTCAGGCCCAGCCTCATTCCAGTGCTGCTTCCAGAATGCCGAACAAGGCACCAGGCACTGCCAGATGCAGCACAGGACATGAAGTCACCCCAGGGCCAGGAATGGGAAACATGTGCTGTGACCCCTGCAATCCCTCCCCCTGAGCTAAGGCACTCCAACAGCCTTAGAAGACTGCTGAAGACCCAGAAGGGCCCAGGAGAAAGCCTTCTCCAGGGTCAGAGAGGCCTCTCGCTCTCACCTTGACAAGGAAAATGTCATTGAGGAGGCAGTAGTTGCTCTCTTCAATTATCCCGTTGAGATTTGTCCGTAGCACATGCTCCCTGGCACTGCATGATTCACACTCATGGAGGCCCATCACCCTGGCCATCAGAATACGCATCGCAGAGAAGGACTGCCTCACGTTGAACTCTAGCAGTTCCATGCCAAATACCCTGTCATGCAAAAATAAAAGGCACTGAGATTCCAAACGGCCCAAGCCTCCTAAGACAAAAGAGCTGGAGTTGCGTTTAGGGGGAACTCTTCAGCCTCCCACCTCAAAGTGGTACCCAGAGTTTCACTCCTTGTATGAGAAAGGGCACAGAGAGGCACTTGCTGCCAAGCCACTGGGAGAGCCAGGTCCAGACCTCCTTCTGGTCTCTGCAACACTGGCCCATGTCTCCCTACCTCCCTGCTGCAGAGGGACTTGCAGAGCTAAGAGGTGATCATGGAGCAAGTGGAGTTTGCCTTTGGGCAAACGCTGAGAGTCTGCCTCTCAGCCACAGAAAGGCTTTTCTGGCCCAGTATTCCTTCTGGGAAACAGGCAGGGGGCAAGCAGGGATTCTGAGACAGGCCACCCTGCTATATGTTGCATCTGGAATCCAATGCAAAGCACTGAGTTTGGGCTTTTTCCTTCTCTTTGGGAAGGAGGAAACACTACAGATCAAGAAGCACCTCCAACACCCCAAAGTTGGGCAACCCAAAGAGACAGGGGCAGGAGCAGAGCACACAGGAGGTAACTATTGAATGCCTCTTCCATGAGGCTTGTCAAGGAGGCTTCCGATCAAGGCCAAGGCACACTGGCCAAGGGGCTGGAGTGTCCCATGGCTGTCAGGGATGGAAAGAAGCAGTGTCCCAAAACTACAGGACAAAACCCTGTACCTGCAGCCAGCAGACTGGCCTAACTGGGCCAGGTGATTAAGTAATCGGCTCTTCCCAGAGCCCCTTGGGCCCTCAAATGCCAGTATGTGTCTTTGTCCAAAACGGTTAGAGGCTTCCAAGCAGCTGACAAAGAGGTCAATCTCCTTCTTCCGACCTGTGAAGACAACCAAGAAAGTGAGCTGCTGGGGCATGCTAGAAAGCAAAGAGTCATCCCTTTTGCTGGCACCCTCCACCACAGCTTCCCTCCCACTACCACATCTGGCAGCCTATGATACCCCTGATGCCTTCCAACCCTCTTGTCCCAGCTTTGCAACTCTGCCTTCCTCAGAGTGGTAGCAGGCGCCCTATCCCACAGAGATTCAGGCAGCCCCATGCAAATCCCCTCAGGGATCCAGTACAAGCCTGGAAGGGATGATTTGAGCTGCTGCGGGCAGCTGTGTCCCAAACAGACTTAGAACATCTCCTGGCCGTACGACTAACCACAGAGCACATCAGTGTTGATACACAACCATGTTTTAGTTCTTGCTGAAAAGGGCTTGCACAGCATCAAGGCATTTTTTATTTCTCATGCCACCCTGCCAGCAAAAGCAGGCTGGCGGTGCACAAGAAGTTGGGATGGGGAACAGCTACAACAGCAGACCCCAACTGGCTTATTTCATTGCATATGATGCTGTGCTTTGCAAGAAAAGCTGGGGAAAAGGGGGAGGAAGGGGGCATATTAAGAGTTCCACTGTTTGTCTTCCCAAGTCCTTGATACGCATGTTGAAGCTCTGCTTTCCTGGGAATGGCTGGACACCTGCCTGCCACCAGAAGGCAGTGAAAGAATGCCTGATTTTGCCTGTCATGGATGCACAGCATCTGCTTTACCTATTAAGCTGTCTGTATCCAGTGTGCTCACTTTAACCCTTCCAGTTCTCTTCCCCATCCCACTGTGAGGAGTGAGCAGCCATGTGGGGCTGAGTTCCCTACCGGGGTTAACCCATGACAGGGCCCAAAACATCCAGCAAGACGCTGAGTGATTAAAGGCATCCGTGTTGCCTGACTTTTCCGTGTTTACAAGCAGATGCTGCCAAGAAAGGACCTTTGAGGAGTACAAGGGGGAGAACCAACCACCAAAACTCTCCATCAGTCTAGCAGAAGGAAATCTCTTTCCTGATCTCAAGGACAAGGACTGGTTTAGCCCCCAGGGTGTGAGCAGCTCCATAGTTGAAACCAACCTTCCTATCAGGTCTGGAGCATGCCTGGGATCACCGAGCGCCTCACCCTGCTTTCCGCCCCAAAGACATCAGCTAAGTAGGCACTGAGACAGCCAGCTTTTCCTTAGGGCCTCTGCACGCAACACTATCCCCAGCAAAAGCTTTTCTGCTCCCAGTACAAGTTACTGAGGGGAAGAAACTGGGGTTCAGAAGAGCAAGGCATTCTCCACATACCAAGCAAGGAGGTGTTATCTGGCATCTTCATGGCAAGAGCCATGCCAAATATGCTAGAAGCAGGGGGAAAAGAAAATACATGTCAGTTAGCTGGTTAGAAACCAAGGGACATTGAGAAGCAGTGTGGCATGGAGGGGCTGGATGTGCTCCATGCTCCATGGTAACTGTTTGTCTTTCGAGCAGCATGTTATCCATCCCCTGCATTCTTCCCCCCCCACCCCCCACAGAGTTCAAGTTGGCATGCTGAGAGAGCTTTAAGCATTAAGAAACCCAACAGCCACACCAGGACAAGAGAATATATTGAGAGTCCAGCAACAGAGGCCAGAGCCAGAGACATGTGAAAGAAGCAAGGGTGAACTGCTGGTTAGCAGATATCTTTACTGCATTGGCCAAGAAAAAACAAGAGTCTTGGAAACAAGGACTTGTGTCACCTAATGGGTTGGGATTCCAAGCACCTGGCACCTTTGGCTTAAGTCTTCCTGTATTTTCAGAGACTAACATTCAAACCATCGTCCTAAAAGAAGGTCAAATCCTGGCCCAGAGGAAGAGCCCAGGTTTAAGGAGGAAGACATGATGAAGAAGGTCCTGAGGACCTTTATCCATGGGAACCAGACTGGCCCAAAGCTTCCCACTCAAGAGCAGCTAGGACAAAACCTTCTCGGGTCAGCATTACCAGGGCATCCGGTAGAGCAAGCACAGCATGGAAAGCACAATTGAAAGCCATTTGGACTGAGCCTGAAAGCCAGGTTGTGTTTACCAAAACAAAACCTTCCCCGTTCCTGTGGTTTCACTCCCACTCTCCCAGCAAGAGGAGGCAGCAGGGAAGAGCAGTAAAAAGCCTCCCACACCAGGGCTTCTGACCATCTCATCCATAGTGGAGAGCGACTTCTGCTCTCTCTGCAGAACTCCTCTATGCTGGCCAAGCTGGACCTTTGATGCCACCATCCCCTCACCCAGACTTCTCAGAGGACACTCACCTCTTGCTGGTGATCCCCACATATTGATAGACAGTGACAGGATGTTTGAAGCCTTTTATCTTTCTCTCCGGCAGCTCCTTGAAGTAGCAAGAGGGCAGCCCAGAGCTGGCATAGGTTGAGGTATCACAGGTCACCAGCCCAGAGTAGCTCACCATCATCCGGGCTGCCAAGTTCACCTTCTGGCCAATGACTACCAGAAAGATGAAGAAAGAGCACACAGTCATGTACCTGTGCCACCAGCTCCACAGTGCCCTTCCAGACCAACGGCTGCCCCACCTCTGACACCCGCAGCCTCACAGTGGGTTAAGCAGATCCCAGGGGAACAACCAACTGCGGAACCCAGTGTCTCACCCCAGCCCAGGACTGCTGCTGCATGGGCCATTCCTGGCTGGCTGTTGGCCAAGCACTCTCCCAGCCTGTCTTCCTCTTCCCAACAGCTCACTCCAGTTTCCCACACTGCACACACATGTACCTGTGTAGTCGTGCCTCAGAGGGTGGCCAATGACGCCACAGAACGCCATCCCACTGGTAACAGACACAGACACTGTCCTGGCACACAGGGAAACAAAACAGCTTCAGCAGCCCTCCAGGTGCAGTCCTGCCCACCCAGCTTCATCTCTTCCCACATCTCCCCTCAGCACTAGCCTGGGCCACTGGCCATCCTGCCCTGCCAGCCTGGGGTTCAGGGTAAAGAGAGCTCAGGGCTGTAAAGGACCCAGGCGACAAGGACAAGGAGCACAAGAGCACAGGCAGGAACTTTTGGGCACTTCTGAGACCATATTCCCTGAGCTGTGACCTGTGACCAGTGGGAAAAGAGGGAGGGAAGAAGGTGCCACAATGTCACTGCCTGTGATGACAGCAGTGTAAGATCAGGTGTCTAGGCCCCATGACTGTTCACAGGCCAGTCACCCAGAAGGTGATGCTTCTGGCACCAAGGAGCCTCTCGCCTTCACCGGGGCTCATTCCAGCATGGTGACTAGCAGGGTGTGCTTGGAGACACTCTGCCTGGCTGCCCAGGGATAAGCCCAGAGGTTACCTGCCACCTCTCAGGGCACTGTTTCCTTCCTGCCAAGGAAGGGAGGGCAAGGGTGGGTAAGGTAGACGCAACACGCTTCCTCTGCTTTACGCTGGCCCAGACAGCACGCACTCCCTCAGCCCCACCAGACACTCACCCTGTTTTTGCAATGATCTTGGAGCACGACTTGAAGATCTGAAAAGCACTCTGCAAGGCATGAATGCTCTCATGGGGCAGCTTTACTCCAGGGAGTCCAAACACACAGAGGAATGTGCAGCCCTGCCACGGACAGATGCAGCACATCTTGCCACAATGCCTAGGAAAGAATCTTCTCCTCTTGCTCAGTGTCCACCCTCTTGGGTTTTGGGGAGATGATTCCACCCTACACTCACTTTGTCAAACAGGAAGACTTTGTTCACTTCACCCTTGTGAGGACAGATGATTTCCTGCACCAGGCTGCTGACTTCATTGAGGACACTGCGAAAAGATACTATGTCCTTTGTTTCAAAATTCAGGTGGAGGAAGAGGATGGTGACTGGCCGTAGCTCACAGAGGAAGTCCCGCGGCACTCTGTCTTCAAGCTGGAAGACAAGAGCATGACAGGTTCACAAGCCTGCTCTCCTGGGGGCTGCCCACACCAGGTGCAAAGGGAGAGCTGGTGTCCTCGCAATAGCAGGTACTAGCGAGGGAAGAGAAGATCCTCCTCTTGAATTAAATGGTCAGCAGGCTGCCCAGCCTGCAGCAGTCAGATACCAAATCAGAACACAAATGACAAAGGTGAGAAGGGCGCTCCAGTAACACCCCATCTTGGGACAGTTATGGACATGAGTGGTGACACTCAGCGACGCTGTAGGGGCTTCAGTGGGCAATGCTGTAGGGGCTTCAGTGGAATCTCCCCTCTATACTGCCATCACGTCCACAGAACATGAAGAGCCATACCCACGGAAAAGATAGAGATGCAAATGTCTGCCCCACCACCCGTCTCTCTGAGGACAACTCATACAGTGGTGCAGCACCCATGCCCCTTGGCCCAATTTGCCCACATTGTCATCTCGGGATGCATTTTCTTTCTTTTGCTTGCTCTCATGGAAACTCCGTCTCTGAATGCACCACTTCTGCCCTGCAAAAAAAGCAGCCCCAGCAGCAATGGCCCAGACGCACCTTCCTGAGAACACCTTTTGGTATGTAACTAAGTATTTCTCCCACATCAGTATCAGGGTTCAAGAAAAGAGTGGGCCTGACAGCACCTGTGGAGAGAAAACACACATGGTTGCTGGGAGGACGGGACTGAGCTGTTGAAAAGCTGGGGCTAGCACTGGCAACAGGGGAGAGACTCCTGCGTTTGCTTGTGTTGCCACCTGCAGGTGCTTAGGGCAAAGCTGTCCCCTGGAAGGAGACGGCAGCAGCAGCAACTGCCCCAGCTGATGCACAAGAGGGCCAAAAGCATGAATGCTGAGAGGGGAAGAGGGGAGCAGTAGTTCAGCCCTGAGCCCTGCAGCAGCCAGGCCCCATGTTTCCAAGCAAAACCAAACCAAGGTGAATCTGGCACTCACATTCGTTTTCCGTGAAGAAGCACTTCTCCTTCTCTGGAAGCTTGTCTAAAACATCTTGGCATTCCGACCAAGACATCTGCTTCATGCCTGTAACCTGAAGGTACACAGAAAGAAAGCACCAACACTGGATTCTCCAGGAGTCCCAGGAGTCCCAGGGGACAGATCCTGCCCTCTACTGTCACTGCCCAGAAAAGGGGAGAAGTCTATCTGGCTGGACAGGACAGCAGTGCTTCCTCAGAAACACGGGAGCTGCGCAGACATCTTCCAAGCATCCCCCAGCTGTCAAGAGCTGCGTGACCCACAGAGGACACTACTGGTGGGGCCAAAACTCTTTCAGTGCCTCCTGACCTCTCAAATCCAGCAAGCCCAGCCCAGAGTTACTCCTAACATGGAAGGACAAGAGCATCAGCTGCTCTCCACTTTCACTGCTACAACTCTCTCCACATTCAGCTCTTCAGCCTTCTGACACCTCCCCCCTTCAGGTCTAGGTCCTCAGAATGGCTCTAGATGCTGTTCCATCCACCTACCTTCACAGCTGTTTTGCCAGCAATATGGCTGGTCCTGAGCCTGTGCTTCTCACATAGCTCCCAGCAGGAAGGTGAGAGGAGAATTTCACCTGCTTTTGCAAGCTTTCCCACTTCACAGACATCCTCCAAGGCCTTGCCAATGACACAGAAGTACTGCTGCCTCTCGTCTCCAAACTTCAGATGGTGCATATTCCCTGCAGAGATCCCTGGGAGAGAGAGAGGGAGAAGCAGAGCTCTACAGCCCCCAGCATTTCAGCTGTTCAGAAGCCAATCTGAACCTCAGTGGGGAGATGGTCATTATGGAGGGGGAGGGCAGCCTCCATCTTTCTCGAGGGGATACTGACACAGGACCCTTAAATGGATGTTAAGAAATAGACAAACCAAGTGGACAGTGGCACTGTCTTGAGAGTGCTGGATGTCTTACCTGCCCCAGAAACCCAGCAAACCAAGCCCCTGCTCAACGCCCACCCCCTTTACATGCAGGCGGGTTGTAGCTATCTGCTCAAGAAAAACTACAGCCTGCAAAAGCCCTTCTCACAGCCTTAAGCAATGCAGCTCCCCTTTGCTCTTTGTGAAAGGCAGGGGAGAATCCAGCAAGGAAAAAGATGCAAAGCCGCCCCACCTGAAAACTTAAGGGATGAGTTCCTCTTGCAGGCATCTGGATGAAAGCAGATGCTCAAAGACACCAATATTCAACCTGACACCTGCTCTTCCTTTGAGCTTCATAGAATCATAAAACCATAGAACAGTGAGGGCTGGAAAGGACCTTAAGATCATCTAGTTCCAACTCCACTGCCATGTGCAGGGACATCTCACAATAGACCATGTCACCCAAGACTCTGTCCAACCCGGCCTTGAACACCACCAGGGATGGAGCATTCACAACTTCCTTGGGCGTCCCATTCCAGTGCCTCTCCACCCTCACAGTAAAGAACTTCCTCCTTATATCTAGCCTGAACTTTCCCTGTTTAAGTTTGAACCCATTACACCTTGTCCTATCACTACGGTTCCTAGTGAAGAGACACGCTCCAGCATCCTTGCAGGCCCCCTTTCAGATACTGGAAGGCTGCTATGAGGTCTCCATGCAGCCTTCTCTTCTCCAGGCTGAACAGCCCCAACTTTCTCAGCCTGTCTTCATATGGGAGGTGCTCCAGTCCCCTGATCATCCTCGTGGCCCTCCTCTGGACTTGCTCCAACAGCTCCATGGCTTTCTTATGTTGAGGACACCAGAACTGTGTACACAATAATCCAAATGAGGTCTCACGAGAGCAGAGTAGAGGGGCAGGATCACCTCCTTTGACCTACTGGTCACGCTCCTTTTGATGCAGCCCAGGATACGGTTGGCTTTCTAGGCTGCGACTACACACTAAAGCCTGCTCATGTTAAGTTTCTCATCGACCAACACCCCCAAGCCCTTCGCAGGGCTGCTCTGAATCTCTTCCCAACCTGTAGCTGTGCCTGGGATTGCTCCGACCCAGGTGCAGGACCTTGCACTTGGCATGGTTAAACTTCATGAGGTTGGCATCAGCCCACCTCACAAGCGGTTCAAGGTCCCTCTGGATGGCATTCCTTCCCTCCAGCGGATCAACCTAACCACACAGCTTGGTGTCATCGGCAAACTTGCTGGGGGTGCACTCAGTCCCACTGTCCATGTCAGCGACGAAGATGTTGAACAGGATCAGTCCCAACACCAATCCCTAAGGGACACCACTCATTACTGATCTCCAGCTGGACACTGAGCTGTTGACCACAACTGTTTGCATGCGCCCATCCAGCCAGTTCTTTATCCACAGAGTGGTCCACCTATCAATTTGATGTCTCTCCAAATTAGAGACAAGGATGCCGTGTAGGACAGTGTCGAACACTTTACACAGGTCCAGGAAGAGGACATCAACTGCTCTACCCCATCCATCAGTTCCGTAGCCCCATCATAGAAGGCCACCAAATCGGTCAGGCAGGATTTCCCCTTAGTGAAGCCATGCTGGCTGTCACCAAGCACCTTGTTGTTTTTCATGTGCCTTAGAATGCCTGCCAGGAGAACATGCTCCAAAATTTTGCCAGGCACAGAGGTGAGACTGACTGGTCTGTAGTTCCCTCGGTCATCCGTTTTCCCCTTCTTGAAAATGGGGGTTATATTTCCCTTTTTCCAGTCATCAGGAACTTTACTGACTGCCACCATTTTTCAAATATGATGGACAGTGGCTTCTCAACTTCATTCACTAGCTCCTTCAGGACCCGCGGATGGATTGTATCAGGTCCCATGGGCTTGTGCACATTCAGGTTCTTAGGATGATCTTGAACCAGATCCTCTCCTACAGTGGGCCTAAGGTCTTCATTCTCACAGTCCGCATCTGCCTTCCAGGACTTGGGTAGTGTGCTCAGAGCATTTGCCAGTGACAGCTGAGGCAAAGAAGTCATTAAGAACCTCAGCATTCTCCAAATCCAGGGTAGCCAGTTCTCCTGATAGCTTCTGGAGAGGGCCCATGTTGCCCTAGTCTGTCTTTTTATTTGCTACATACCTATAGAAGCTCTTCCTGTTATCTTTCAGGTCCCTTGCCAGATTTAATTCTAACTGTGAATGCACACAAACCCAGTGGTCCTGGTCTCCAACTACAGGTGGCCCCTTGAATGCTTGCAGGAGATGCTTTCCTTTGGCACTAGCTCCAGCAGGGATCCCTGCATTCCCTGCCAGTGTGAAGCACCCTGTGGCACAGGAGAGTGCCACAGATCTGCTCCTGGCACAGCACTTATACCTATCTTTAGTCGGAATTTCTGACCCACGATCATGTCATGCCTCCAGTACTTCTTCTGGATCTGCCGGCTACAGTGCACCACAAGGCTGATGGTCTTGGCCATCTCACTGGGTCTTGCTCTCCACAGCAGCAGCACAGCATCCCCTGGGGAAAGCAAGGGAACATCAAGGCTCTGCTGAGACATGACTCTCCCTGACCTATGCTCCATGGCAGGGACAGCAGAAACCAGATGATTTGCTGAAAAAGATGGACTTGTGGGAGGCCATAGGCCTGGAGGACCTCTGGACTCACTGGGACTCCTCCGCCTCTTGTAGCCTGGCAGCCTGAGCTGTGCTGTCACCAGGGCCCCCCTGTCCCTCACCAGCATTCCAATAAATGCCTTTGGCTTCACCTTCTAGTAGGTCTCCTGCTCTCAGTGCTGCCTCTGCCCTCACCCCCAGCACAGAGCCCTGCAAGCTGAGGCAGAGGGAGGGGAGCCACCACCCTTGCCAAAGCCAAACTTCAGGCCCAGGGTGGGAAGAGAAGCCTGGAGAAAGGGTGCTGCAAAGGGGTATGGGAGTGGCCAGGAAGATGGCTCAAGGTGTTGCACAGAGCCTGTCCTGAAGGAGGACAGCAGACCTGCCACAACAGTCCTGTGCTGCAGATTCATACCCATGGGCATCATCATCCTAAGCACATACCAGCAAACTTCAAGATGTCACCTCCAAGAGTCAGCATGTCTGTGGACAGAGGGAAGGAAAGGAAGAGTCATGTGGACACCTTCTTCCATAATCCACAAAGGAAGTGCCCATGCTCAGAGCGGAGCACCCAGGCGACGGTGCAGTATCCGACACAGCTTAGGAAAAGCACCCCCCTGGCTTGTCTCCCAGGGGCTGCAGCTCTGGTACCTGCACAAGAAGGCACAGAGGCATGGCCTCGAGCTGCCACCTGATTTCAGGATGGGACCTCTGAGGTCCATCTGGTCCAACCCTGCTCTCAAGTGGGGCAGAGCCAGCTGCCCAGGACGCTGGCTAGATGGCTTTGGAAGAGCCAAAGAGGAAGATTTCTCAAGCTCCCTGTCAATCAGTCAGTCACCCCTCACAGCCAAAAAGTGTTTCCCAACTTACAGAGGGAAACTCCTGTGCTTCAATGCATGCCCATGGCATGGCCTCTGGTCCTGACAGTGCGCACCACTGGAAAGAACCTAGCTCTGTCCGATCTGCTCCCCCCCTTGAAGTTTTAGACACATTACTATAAGATCCCCTGGAGCCTTCTTTTCCCTAGGCTAAACAGGCCCAGTTCCCCCAGCCTTCCCTTGTAGGAGAGAGCCTCTAGACCCTTCATCCTTCTGGAGGACTCTTGCTTTTCTTTACCAATGCTGCCAAAGGGATGTCCAGAATGTGCTCATAATCAGCTCAGAAGGGTCAAGACATCCCCTGAGAAAATGGGCTTGGAAGAGTCTCTGTCTCTCCCTGTCTTTCACAAACACACCAGTGCCAGCATTCCCAGGTCGCTTGTGCGCTGGCACTTGCTTGGTGCTCTCAGCCTGCTCTGGGCCCCCAGGCACCATGGAGCTAGGTCTTCACATCAGAAGCACAGAGGTGGCTGCTGAGAAAGCAGGTGCCTCCTTGGCCACAGTGGGGAGCAGAAAGGACCTGCGCTGGTCCTGACTTGCCAGGAGAGCCTGGCTGTTCTCACTGCTCCTCCAGGCCACAGAAAGCCCCAGCCTTTCCAAGGAAGCAGGACTAGGCTGCCCAGGACAACAGCCTCCCCATTCCGTAAGCAGCCCAATGGCCTGCTGCCAGGCAGTCCTGCAGCGTGGCTCTTACCCTCCAAAATGTCACACAGGTAGTGATTGAGGTCTTCTGCCAACTCATCAGTGCCTCTCTGTGAACCATCCTTCCAGACACAGTCCTCTGTCAAAGAGGTGAAATCTGTAATAGAGACACCCAGAAATCAGGAAATGCCCTGGGGACCAAAGGACCTGGCAGCCAGATTCCACATTGCCCAGCCGGGGGTCCAGCCCAGCACCTTCCCCTGCCCCAACTCAGTGTGGCCTGCAGCAGTGCTTAACCACCCATGATAGCCTATCCTTTTTGGGTATCCCAGCAGAAGACCTCAGCATTCACTATGGCCACTTGCTATCAGCAGCAGGGGCAGGGCTCCAAAGGGCCTGGTGTGTCCCAGAATGGCTCACGTCCCTCAATGTCACAGTTGCTCCTTCCTGCTCACCCTACCTGAAATATCCGCAAAGAGCAGCACTCCGTGGACCGCCTGAAAGCTGGTCCCGAGGTAGTCGCTAGAAATAAGGCTGGGGAGAAAGGCTGATGCTTTGTCCAGCTCTGAGCTGCAACGTTTCCTCTTCCAGGAAGAAGACACCATCTGCACTCTGTGGTGTCTGGGGTTCCTCAGGATCACCTGCTGTGCCCAGCTGGGAGAAGAAACATGGCCCCATTGCGCCATGTGAGTTGCCTGCATGTGGGGCAACTGTCCCTCTCCCTACAGGGTGGTCAGTCACTGGCAGTGGCCTCCTCAGTAGGTCTTTGCTTCCCTGTCAGCTCTCCGCACACATCACAATGAGCTGACAGTGACATCAACCTCTGTGGGCCAAGGCTTCCCTGTCAGCTCTCCGCACACATCACAATGAGCTGACAGTGACATCAACCTCTGTGGGCCAAGGCTTCCTCCTTGACACTGGGACACTGGCTGGAGGTGGCCAGCACCATCCCATTGTCTGGGGACAGCGCCCAAAGGAGGCACATGCAGACCTGCTACAGTGCCTTGCACACACAGCTGTTTGACAGCACTGCTCCTTCCCGACAGCGGAATAGCTTGTCACCGTTTTCCCAGCAGTCTCGCCCGCTTTTTTCTGGTGCTCCCTTGCTGCTGCAGCAATGGGAAGGGACAGTGCTCTCTGTTCTGGAGACAGGAGGGGGAGAGGGACTGGGAACCCTTGCTGGGCTGTATCTGAAAAGCACCAGGAAGCATGCAGTGGGCCACCCAGAAGCCCAGGACAGACTCCAAACCGGTGGGCGTGTTATCTGGCAATGAAGTAGTTAAGATTTTGTAAAGGACTATGTGTATGAAAGCTTGGGAATGTTGAGTTTACACTTGCAGGTAGCAAGGAAACATGTTTCCTTACTGTCCTGGGTTCAGCAGGAGCAGTCATTTTTCTCTTTCTTAGTAGCTGGTGCAGTGCTGTCATTTTGACTTTAGCCTCAGAGCAACGCTGAGAACACCGACATTTTTAGTTGTTGCTAAGTAATGTTTAGTCTGACCAAGGACTTTCTGAGTCTCATGCTCTGCCAGGGAGGAGGGGAAGCCAGGAGGAAGCAGAGACAGGACACCTGCACCAAACTAGCCAAAGAGGTATTCCATACCACAGCACGTCATGCCCAGGATGTAAACTGTTACAGTACATAAAGAGTTACCCGGAAGGGTTACATCACTGCTCGGTGGGGCTGGGTATCAGTTGGCGGATGGTGAGTGGTTGTATTCTCTCCCCTTGTTACTTCCCTTATCATTATTCTTATTGGTGGTAGCAGTAGTGGTTTGTGTTATACCTTAGTTACTGGACTGTTCTTATCTCAACCCATTGGAGTTACATGCTTTCCATTCTTCTCCCCATCCCTCCAGGAGCAGTGGGAGGAAGAAGAGGGGAGCGAGACAGTGGCTGCATGGTTCTGAGTTACCGGCTGGGCTTAAACCATGACGCTTGCAAGCTCACAGACCTTGAGCAGAGCTACAGGCCTGATACCTGAATCATCTGGGAAATAGCAAGGGGAGAAAATACAAAGTGGGAAAGAAAAACCCCAAATAAACACAAGTGCTGTGCAATACAATTGCTTACCCCTCACTGACCGATACCCAGCCTGACTCAAGCAGCAACCTGGGCCTTCTGGGTAACTGCCCCTAGTTTATATACTGGGTATTACGTGCTGTAGTATGGAATACCTCTTTGGCTAGTCTGGGTCAGGTTTTCTGTCTCTGCTTCCTCCTGGCTTCCCATCCTCCCTGGCAGAGCATGAGTCCGAGAAAGTCTTTGGTCGGAGTAAACATTACTTAGCAACAACTAAAACTATTGGTATGTTATCAGCTCTTCCAGCATGTTCCACAGAGGCATAATTTCATAATTTTTTTCAGCCCCCAATATTCCATTTAATCTTCCTGACTAAATTTGCTTAACAGCATGCTTCAAATGTCCCCAGCTAACTCCCCAGGGCAGACGGGAGAATCTCTGCTCATTAAAAAGCTAGTTAGCCTTTTGAATTTTACACCTTTCTCCTATCGTCTTATCACTTCAGATATTCCTCCATACATTTAAATAAAATGCACAACTATGAAAAATCCAGGGTTTGTTGCTGGCTTCCCATAGCTGAGTGCACTGCAGGCATTTAAACTGAGTGTTTTCTAGGGCCAATGGTTAATTTAAGCAGATATTACTGTGAAATCTCACACAATCATGCAGTGTCTCTCTAAGGCAGACAATAGTCAGCTGCATGCTGAAAAATCTTTGAATGTGAAGGGACACATGAATATTTAATAATTTGTATGTATTGCTTCTTGTGGTACTGCAAATATTTGGAGAATATCATCTTTCTCCAAATGTAAGATAGATGGTGCTAATGAACTATATGGTCATTTCCAAGCCAGCATCGTAGCTCCTGCAGGCTGCTGACAGATAGAAGTCCACCGCCCTGTCTGTGCTTGCCCTCATGCGCGCTGCCAGGCAGGAAAGCCTCCATCCAACAGAAGTGCCCTCCATCCTGAAGAGGTGCTCCAGTAAGGAAAGACAGCGGCTCTGCCGCAGCAGCCAGGCGAGCTTCTTCTTCCTGCCAAGCAAGAGAAATTGCTAGGCCCAGAGGCTCTAGGAAAAGTGGTATCACCCTCTGAGCCTCCTCATTACCCCCGGTATCAATATAGGCTGGGAGATGAAGGGATTGAGAGTACTCCCAAGGAGAAGGATTTGGGGGTACTGGTGGATGAAAGATTGGATATGACGCAGCAGTATGCACTTGCAGCCCAGAAGGCCAATTGCATCTTGGGCTGCATTCAAAGGAGCGTGGCCAGCAGGTCAAGGGAGCCCCTCTACTCTGCTCTGCTGAGTCTCTCCCTGTAGTCCTGTGTCCAGCTCTGGAGTCCTCAGCACAGGAAAGACATGGACATGTTGGAAAGGGTCCAGAGAAGGGCCGTAAAAATGATCAGAGGGACGGAGCACCTCTCTTGTGAGAAAAGGATGGGAGAGTTGGGGTTGTTCAGCCTGGAGAAGACTGGGGATACCTTATTGAAGCCTCTCAGTTCTTAAAAGGGGCCTATAAGAAAGATAGGGAAAGACTTTTTAGCAGGGCCTGTTGCAACAGGTTGAGGGGTGATGGTTTTAAACCAAAAGAGGGAGATACAGGCTGGATGTGAGGAAACAAATTCTTTGTAATGAGGGTGGTTAAAGACTGACAGTGTTCTACCACCCTCACAGGGAGGTTGTAGACACACCATCCCTGAAGACATTCAAGGCCAGGCTGGATGTCGTTCTGGGCAACCTGACGTAGTCAAAGACGTTCCTGCTCATTGCAATGGGGCTGGACTAGATGACCTTTGAAGGTCCCTTCCAACCCAAACCGTTCTATGATTCTGTGATTCTCACACCTCAGCTCCTCTTACTGCTCCTTCTCCATGCCCTGGTCCTGCCTCCAGCCCCCACCCCTTTTCAGTACAGCTCTCTGTTCCCAGCCAGCACCAATCCATCATCCCTGGCTGCAAGCTGCTTTGATACCCTAAGGTATGCTTTGTTCCCAGGGCCTCACAGCGAGGGAGGGAGGAACTCTATCATTCCCTGTTCTATCCTCACATCGCTCTGTGTGGCCTCAAGCCTCGTCAGGTCTGTGCCCATATGCCTGTGACCAGGTAGGAAATAACTCTTTCTCCCCTGGGTTCTTGGTCCTGTTTCTTACTGGGCCTTCTGTGGAAGGGAAGATGCTCCTGGGCACCCCGGCCTCTCCTCAACTGCCTGGATGCTGCTGCTTTTCATGCTGGGACAGGTTTCGTTCCTGGTGTCGTCTTCAGCTCTTCCCCAGTGCTGCAGTTTCTCTGCAGAGGTTGCATTAATGAGATTGACTGAAGCCTCAGCTTCCTCCAGGGTAAGATTGTGAAGCCTGAACCTTTCTAAAACCAGTATTTTAAAGCACAGGTAACAGCAGAGCAGATTAGGTTAAGTTATAAATTGGTTTTGATACAAAAACATAAAATATCCCCTTATAAGCATCAAGAAGGCATCAAAGTTTCAATACTCTCCTTAGAAAACTGTACCAGCATTTTTACTGAAAACAATACAGATCTTGTTTATATTTAATTTTGGTTCTGTTCTTAATGAACAGTTGTGTGACAGTTACCAAACCCCATTACGGTTCTCTGAACCTCAGTACAAGTCACATCTGTATCACAACTACATAAAAAGATCTTAATGACCCAGTATAAAAAATACATCCTATGCAAGAACCTCAGGTATACTAAAAAATCAATCTGTTAATGAAAATCCACACTTAATATATCTATTCTCCCTGAAAGTAAAGGTGGCTACTAAGAAGTAGCAACGCAGTAGATCGAGCAGAAAACACACTGCAGAATTCTTGTGTGATTTATTGCTACACATGGATTACTCAAGGGTAATCTTTTTTTTTTTAGTAATCCTTGAGAGGTCAAATTGTATCAGGAGTTCTGAACACAGAGTAAAGAAAAAAATAGTATTTACAAAAACAGCATCCATTCAAGTTAGGCAAATCCTTATAAATGCAAGAAAGAAATCAGTTGATCTATAAAAAAAATAATTAACGAATTCAGCGCGTATGTTCCTGAAGCACCAGCATAACATCCTGATGTGAAGGACTTCCAACTACGAAGTCTTCATAAACATACCTGTGAAATTCCTCCTCATGCAGGCCACAAACCACTGTCAGAAGGTGCCCACATATGACATCTGCAGTCAGCTGCAGAGCATCTCACATTTCAATCTCAAATGGCAAGAAAAGAGTTTTGTGCCAGCTTTTACATCAGTGTTTTAGCTCACTTGCACATGGAAAAGCAGATGCTGCAGAGATAAGGTGTAGCCACAGCAATTTTCTGTAATGCATTTATCTGAGCTTAAGGGGCAAGACTGTGGCTTAAAGTTACACTACACACAGTAAATGCTACAGCTGTGTAAAGAGGTAATAAAACCTGCCCTCTTTTGAACATGTATTAAGTGTAAACTTTCAGAACTTCAGGAAGCATTACAAACAAGTTGTCTTTTGTGGTAAAGTAACCAGAGAGGATTTGAGGGTTTAAAAAACAATTTGAAAATCTATTAAGACATAACAGGTTTAGAACTTTAACATTTTTAGTGTTTGTAGCATTGTTAACTTTGGTGTTCAGATCTAGCAAATCAAGAGTATTGCTTGTAATCAACCTAATCAAACCAGATACTCTATAATGAAATATTAACTCCATTTTCAATGGTAGACTTGTAGGATCTGACATTCCACCATGAATCACAGGGATCAGAGCACTGTCCAATTCATTCAGATACTTCTGTGGAAGAAGGTGACCTCCGGATCCAGCTAAGTACTCAACCTATAAGGAAAACAAATTAATGTTGATATTAACACTTTCTGTATTAATAAGACAACACAAGAAGTGCAGTTTCTTGGTAAAGAGTATTTTGGCAAGCATGAAGTGACAAAATAACATTTGAAGATTGGCAGGTGAATGGGTTTTGAGGTCAGTCATGGCCAGTAAGTCTTGAAGAGAAACACGAGCAACATCTCCACAGGGTCTACAGGGTCATACGTGTTGTGTGTCCCATGCTGCTTCATTCTGATGTCCAAAAGCAATCTCATTATATCCTAGTATCACAGTTACCAGTAGATTAATTTCAACATATACCACCAAAAACTACATTTTCAGGGCTGTATTTCCAGCTTCTCTCAAAACAGGTAAGGTATGACAGAGAAGAAAAGGATCTGAACTACTTCTGCGCAGCATCCCACACTGTGTAGCCTTGCCTGCTCTCTCCACTACCTTCAGCCAGGCAGACCCATCCTTTTCTGCAGTATTGAACTATTTTAGGCAGCAAAATGCTACATACTTCAAGAAAAGCATCAGAGAATTAGCTGTGATTCCCTAAACTCACCTTGGAGGCAGGTTAAGTGCCAGAGAGAGTTAACAACTAGGGAAGAACTGACAGCTTACTGCAAGCAGCTATTAGAGAATTTCAGCAGAATAAGGAAACAGGATTATTCCTTTAGAAAAACCTAGTCATTAAGACAGCTTCTGCACAAAATTTCATCATCAAATTTCATTCTCAGTCTGGTTCTGGGGAAGGGCAAAGAAACTAAAAGCATTCAGACAGATCCAATATCTTTACAAGAAAAGATATGTAATTTGAAATGGAGTGTCTGCAATAGAAATTGAAAGATTACCATATCCAAGTCAACAGAAACTCTTAGGCGTATTTTGCTTTTGTTTACTATTGTTTTTTAAAGTTTTAAGGCGTGGGCAAACAGCAGTACTGCAGGCAGAAGCAATCTCCTTAGTAAACTGGTGAGGAACAGGACTGGAGATATTACTTTTAGAAAATAGTGTACCTAAAATTACAGAAAGGAAAAGAACAGTCAGCAGCCTAGTTATATTACAAAGTAATAGAAACATATACATAAAAATATGTAAATATATAAATATAAAAGAATAATTACATTTACATATAATGCAAACAGAGCAAGCTGTAACGCTTGCTGGCAAAATATTCCAGTATTTCATCTATTGACTCAAACACTTGAGTGACCAGGGGAATATCTGGATTATCTATTTATAACATTATCCATGCTTTTAATCTTTCTCAAAGGAGAAAAATTAGGTAGATGCTTTAGATGCCCTTATCAAAAAGCTATCGAGAGCATTCTGCCTATCAGTATGACTATACATCTTATAACTTTGTTTCTTTATAGTATCACTTAGTGTGATCGATTTACCACTCAAACTGTTCAAAGATGCCGCAAAAAGGCTCAAGAACAACATAATTTACTAGCTTCAGCACACTTCATGACTTTTCCCTCTCTTTGAAAGTCTCTGCCTTGTGGTACTTTCTCACTCTGAGTTCCTTCCATTGATCTTCCATCAACTGGGCTTAAAATTCTATGGAAGATAACAGCATGTTTAGTAATTAAAACAACATTATATGATTTATATTTAATAACCTATATGACATAATTCTTATTATTTCGTATATTAGCAACAGTTCTTGAAGACTATTTAAATGGCTTTACAACCAAATGTAATGCAGGACTTGCATCATGGAAACACAGATGCCTCAAAAAAGCCTATCATAATTGGATGCAACACTTAACAAAGACCTAATCTTACGGGTTTAAGAAGCTATAAACATATTTGGTAAAGCCACTGTTTGTTCTAATTGGTCAGAGAAGCCACAGAAAAAGGCATGCCAAGTCAAGCTTGTGGCCTGCAAAAAAACTTGAGACAAGTTTTGAGTTAGGGATGCGTAACTGAAGTTTGAAGCTACATAAAGCTACAAGCATTCAAATCACATGCAATAAAGATGTCTTATACCTCATTTTGATTTGTTGAATGCTGGCATTCCAAGCAGTGAATGGCCAAGGACAGGACCATGCGCTTCCAACCCCCCACTAGTAAGGAAATTTAAAGGGATTAACTGCATTCTCACACAAACTGATTACTGATAGAGGACTTACAAAGGAAACTTGAGGGCTCACCCACTTTTCCCATCAACTTCCCAAACACAGAAAACAGTAATAAATTTTGCTGAGCCACAAGCAGAATTGTTCTATTAATTCAGAGGACTGAAGGTACTTTACCATTCTATCCCCTTTCACATTTTAGTGTCAATACTTTCTCTCAATAAAAATACCTTAGATCATTTCAAGAAATTAAAGGTGGGTATTAGAAAACTATGCATAAGAACTCTCTAAGATATTTAATACATTTACCCTTTGTTTGTTTTTTCTTCATTTTCTACCCAGGAAATATCTACATATTCTTTCATGTCTCCCGTATCCATTTTGCCATAAGTTATTTTAAAGTCCTTCTTGTCTCTTTACGCCTGACATAGGCTTTCCATTGTTTCTGGCGTTATTTGTACCATTAGTCCATCTAGAAAAAGAGTTAAAATTCCAACTTTTCTATAGAAAGAGTAGCACAGCTTTTCAACAGAATCTTGGCTTAAATTCTAGTAGGACCAACCCTCTCCTCATTAATAAATGCACATCAAATGGATGGCATCCCAGAACCACCACACTAAATGGTGTGAATGAATTGGTGTGAACTAATTCCTCATGAAAAAGGATGTAATTACTTCCTCATGAAAGAGGAAGTAATGAAAACCTTTCCTGGCAATAAAACTAAAGCTAGAAGATCAATCTTAGGTTAATCTTCAAAGATTTTGCATTTTTGTGTCAATATGTCTATTTCATCAATATGGCAATGAAAGCTGTGGCTGCCCCATCCCTGGCAGTGCTCAGGGCCAGGTTGGACAGGGCTTGGAGCAACCTGGTCTAGTGGAAGATGTCCCTGCCCATGGCAGGGGGTTGGAACTGGGTGAGCTTTAAGGTTCCTTCCAACCAAAACCAGTCTGGGATTCTATGTTTTTAAACAAGGAGGTGAACTTAGGATGTATTTTTTTTTTTTTTAATACAGCATTTGTTTGCAGTAGGTTTTCTACAAAGCTAAAAATCCTGAAAATAAAAAGCTTATCTTACTGAGACACAAAGATCTTAAGATCTTGCACAAAACTCCTGCTTCTTTTTTATTTATGCATTTATTGATTTTCAAGTTCTCTGAAGAAGAAACCACATAGAACAAAATTATTACCTTCAACTATACTGGAGTTAGCTAAAAATCCTGAAGGTGTTTTTAGGGTTCCATTAAACACCACAAAACTTGCACCTGTAACTGGAAAAAATAGGAACACAGAGAGTACCATTTTGTATCACTCAAGTTTGTCATTACTAACACTTGTATTCCTTTCTAAAAAAGGCGGGAAAAAAGGGTAATACTATACTGACAGTGTTAACAGAAAGCCGTTACTGACAGAATGATATGAAATAAAACTCTCTAAGGAGAGAATTTTATCCAACCAGATCTTAGCAACAAAGACCAGCTTTCCTAACTTATTTTGTGAGTGCATACAGTCAACATCAGCAAGCCAAAAAAAGTTCCGTATATATAAAAGTTCTGTATATGCGGTTAAGAAAGTGGTAGGATGGTTTTAATTTACTTTTTTTTAGTGGGATGGAAGAGGATTTTGTCCTTTAAAAAGGATGTGCCACTCAACGTGTATTTACAGAAGGTATTCCTCAAGTTTAGATCATTTCAGTAGTACTAAAAGCAACTGAAAAAAAAAAGATCATAGAAGTGTATTTCCATGCTACAAACCTTTGCATAAATTTGTTAGTTACACAGCGTACTTTAAACGAAAACACTCTTAAGTAACTATGCTTACAAAGAAGCACAGAAGTTGGCACTGGAGATGTAAGAGTATAGCCCTACCGGTCAATTCCTGCTTTAGGAATGCAATTTTTCTTCAGAAGCCAAACCTGACATCTTACCTTTCCTGGGATGTCCAGTAGCACTGATTGCTTGTATGTGATAGAGGCCATGCTTATTTTGCACACACACCAAGTGAGAATCCGCTTCAGTATTAAAACTTGCTCCAATACTAATTACATGTTCATTAGAAGAATGTATCACCTTCATTACCTGTTGATACAAAATCTGTCATTAAACTGACAAATCTCACTTTGCAGTACTCATCTAAATACAAGATATAATAAAAACCCAGCTCTCAAAACAAAGAATTATTCGCTGAATTCCAGAGCATTTGAACAACACAGTTTGCCATGACTAACTGGAAAAACACTAAGCATGATTAAAAATACTACTTCAGTTGAGAAAGATAGTAAGTCTTGAGTACTGCTGGGCAGAGTATCAGCTGTAGGGATTTTTTTGGTCTTAAGGCTAAAATATGCATCAAGCCTCATGCAGTTCACTGTTCAGGGTTTGCTTTTTTTGTTAAAGCAAATGTAAACAAATTGAAAAAAGGCAGAGTGGCAAGAAAAATTTACGGGGTGTGTGTGGTTTTTAGTTTGGTTTTTTTTTTTTTTTTTTTAATTTAAGTTTTAAGCAAAACACCATCATCAGGAAATGTGTAAGAAAGAATGCTTGAAAATATATACTAGAAGATTTTGTACTGTTTTCAGCATTTAAGAGCTATCCTAAAGCTCAACTTTTCACTCCTCACCATCCACTTTTCAACATATCCAGGAAGAATGAAACGTGCACTGAGATCATTTCATGCTCTCTCTCTCTCCCATCACATACTTACACCAGGTTAAAGTTCAAAGAGTTTATTGCACACCAAATAGCAAAGTAATCTAGAGAGCAGCTATCAAATGGAGAATTCAACTGCAGAACTGCCTAGAAACTGATTACAGAATAAAACCAACATTACAGCCTCTAAGAACAGGCCCCCTTTTAAAAGAAAAGAAAGCTCATGTTAAAGATCTGACTGATTTTGTACAAAAAATAATGACTAAAGCAGTATGGATTAGAAAGCTAATCAAGATGGTTTTACTCACCTCACTGTACTTCCTTAGCAGTATTTTAACACAGCTTCTACCCATTTCCACATGAACAAACAGGTTGTATCACAGTATCACAGTATGTTAGAGATTGGAAGGGACCTCGAAAGATCATCTAGTCCAATCCCCCTGCCGGAGCAGGAACACCTAGATAAGGTTACACAGGAACGTGTCCAGGCGGGTTTTGAATGTCTCCAGAGAAGGAGATTCCACAACCTCCCTGGGCAGCCTGTTCCAGTGTTCTGTCACCCTCACTGAGAAGAAGTTTCTTCTCAAGTTTAAGTGGAACCTCTTGTGTTCCAGTTTGTACCCATTGCCCCTTGTCCTACCATTGTTTTCCACTGAGAAGAGCCTGGCTCCATCCTCGTGACACTCTCCCTTTATATATTTATATACACTAATAAGGTCACCCCCTCAGTCTCCTCCAAACTATAGAGACCCAGCTCCCTCAGTCTTTCCTCATAAGGGAGATGCTCCACTCCCTTAATCATCTTAGTTGCCCTGCGCTGGACTCTCTCCAGCAGGTCCCTGTCCTTCTTGAACTGAGGGGCCCAGAACTGGACACAATATTCCAGATGCGGTCTCACCAGGGCAGAGTAGAGGGGAAGGAGGACCTCTCTCGACCTACTAACCACCCCCCTTCTAATACAACCCAGGATGCCATTGGCCTTCTTGGCCACAAGGGCACAGTGTCGGCTCATGGTCACCCTGTCGTCCACCAGGACCCCCAGGACCCTCTCCCCTACACTGCTCTCTAACAGGTCGTTTCCCAATCTATACTGGAACCTGGGGTTGTTCCTGCCCAGATGCAGGAATCTACACTTTCCCTTGTTATATTTCATCAAGTTATTCCCCGCCCAACTCTCCAGCCTGTCCAGGTCTCGCTGGATGGCAGCACAGCCTTCTGGCGTGTCAGCCACTCCTCCCAGCTTAGTGTCATCAGCGAACTTGCTGATAGTACACTCAATTCCCTCATCTAAGTCATTGATGAATATATTAAATAATACTGGTCCCAGTACCAACCCTTGAGGCACTCCACTAGATACAGGCCTCCAACTAGACTCCACCCCATAGACTACAACTCTGGCTTCTCTCCTTCAGCCAGTTCACAGTCCACCTCACTACCCGATCATCCAGACCACACTTCCTCAATTTAGCTGCAAGGATGCTGTGGGAGACCGTGTCAAACGCTTTGCTGAAGTCAAGGTAGACCACATCCACCGCTCTGCCATCATCCATCCACCGTGTTATTTCCTCATAAAAGGCTACGAGATTGGTCAAGCATGACTTCCCCTTGGTGAAGCCATGTTGACTGCTCCTCATAACCCTCTTATCCTTGATATGCCTTAAGATGGCCCCAAGGATAAGGTGTTCCATCACTTTCCCAGGAATGGAGGTGAGGCTGACCGGTCTATAGTTACCCGGGTCCTCCTTCTTGCCCTTTTTGAAGACAGGAGTGACATTTGCTTTCCTCCAGTCCTCAGGCACCTCTCCTGTTTCCCAAGACTTGGTAAAGATGATGGAGAGTGGTCTAGCAAGGACCTCCGCCAGTTCCCTCAGCACCCGCGGGTGCATCCCATCTGGACCCATGGATTTATGGATGTCCAGATTGCTCAACTGGTCTTTAACCCATTCCTCATCAACTAAGACAGACCGCTCCGTTGACCTGTCTTCATCTGAGGTCTCAGCGGTACAGGGCTCTTCAGGACTGCCTCCGGCAGAGTAGACAGAGACAAAGAAGGCATTCAGTAACTCTGCCATCTCTGTATCTTCTGTCACCAGGGCACCCGTCCCATTCATCAGCGGGCCTACATTGCCTCTGGTGTTAGTTTTATCTGCCATGTATTTGAAAAAGCTCTTTCTGCTGTCCTTGACCCCTCTCGCCAGCTTTAATTCCAAGGAGGCCTTAGTCATCCTAGCAGCTTTCCTACATCCTCTAGCAGCAGCCTTATATTCTTCCCAAGTGGCCAGCCCTTCCTTCCATGACCTGTAAACTCTTCTCTTCCACTTAAGCATACCCAGCAATTCCCTATTTAGCCAGTTGTCTCTGGTATGCAAAGTATACTGGTAATTTTTAAGGTCCTGTATCGAAGTTTTTATGTTAGCTGACAATTAGGTATCATTTCCTTACCTTTTATTGCAAATACCACCTAGATGGAAGTACTTTTCATACATCTCTAAGACTCTTCAGAATAATGACATTAAGGGTGACTAAAGACTTAGTGATCATTTTTTTCCTACTGTAATGTATGGGAAGGGTATCTTAGTGAATATATTAACAAATCAATACCACTGACAAGGTAACTCTGTTTATGAATGGGTTATTTAGACTATTGCTACTTCATACATACTAGGATGTCACAGTGTTTTAGACAACAAAACACCTCAACACCTTCCTTCTCTGACAGAAAAGCAAAGCATGGAAGCCACCATCCAGATTAGCTTCCACACCCTGTCCTCTGCAACTCTAATTTGTTGATTTCCATGTTTAATATGCACTGATTTTTATTCCTTTCTCTGCCAGAAGTAACCTGGTCTAGCGGAAGGTGTCCCTGCCCATGTCAGGGGAACTGCAACTAGATGATCTCAGAGGTCCCTTCCAACTCAAGCCATCCCATGATTCTAAGATTCTTTGAAGTCTGAAGATGCCACACTGGTACTGGCACTTCACCAATCAGGCAGGGAGCTGGCTCATGGAATGAAAGCGTAAGATTCCTCCATTGAAACACACTTTTTCAGATGGTGCAACTCCTCTGATACCTTATGTAATGACATAACAACAGTGGCAAACAGGAAAGAGGAACCGAAGACTGCAGTTTCATCTCTGCTCTAATGGTCTCCAGACTCTTAGAAGAGGATTTAGTGATCACCTAAATAATACATGCAGTTCCTCCCACAGCCTTACAGGATTTTTCATCATAGCGCTGAAGATAAATTCCATGTAAGTATCAGAAAAGGAGAGTCTCTGGTCAAGAGTACAGATTTACTGAAAGTTTAAATCAAATTATTTGGGTAACAGAAAAGCCTCCTCAGGGAATGGTACAAATTCCAGACTTGGTTTAGTCTGATGCTTTTGCCAAAAATTTCTTTGCGTAAGACCGTCGGACTGGTTAACTGTGGTAAGATTAAGTTTATGTGACAAAGTAATTACTATTACAATTAGACCACAGCGTGTAGCTCTCAAATGTTTTTAAAATATGAAGAAAGACGTCAGAATTAAGACTAGACTTCCTGCACCAAACCAATGTTTGTAAGATAAAAATGCAAATGAACAATAATCACTACACTTCAGTGTCAATGTCAACATTTTTCTAATTCATTTAAAGCCATTTTTACTACCAGAACTAATATACAGCAACAGAACATGAGAGATGTGGCTTTTCTAACTCACTTCTTACCTAACCTGGTAAGTTTCAAGTCAGGTATGGAGAAGAAAAATACCAGCCCTTTTACTTTGACAGAAATAATTCTGCTTTCAAGAACAGAGTTTTGACAATAACTTACATAATCTAAATTACAACAGAAAGGGAAGAGAATAGAACATTTACTCACAACGAGTAGATTCGTAATTGTGTGTCCAATCTCACCAAAGAGTGGCTTCCGGTGCCTGAAACTTACTACAGGAGTAGAATATGCTACAGTCAGGGCAGAAAAAAAGAAGAGGTCATGTTTACCCATCAACAACTCTAAAACTTGCTAATCCAAGTATTTATTTTGAGCTATAGCCCCTGTTTCCCTGCCCCAGAATGTTCCCTACCCAAGGTTAAATCCTACTGCAGCATCACTGCATGGAACCACTCTCCTGGTGGCAGTAATTTTGTGGCAGCGACTCGTCGTTGCTTTCATATATTTTGTCAGCTATGTATTTTGCAACTGATGATCTGCGTGGAAACATCCCAGGTTCAGTTTTTGGGTCACCAGCTTCTGGAGAGATTGCAAAGGGTTTGTAGTTGCTTTAATAAGAATACCATACAGGTTAACATCTGCTTTTGTGTTAATGCTATAATACAAAGTGAGGTACCACTTAGTATTGATAACCAAGAATAGAGTGAGGATGTTCATACAAAGTAACATGCTTTGAAGTCCCATGGCTGCAATGTGAATCATATGGAGAAGGAACGTAGGGAAGGCAACAAAATGCAAAACATCACATACCACAGTATGAAACCAAAACAAGTGGCATAACAAAGTCAAAACTGTGAGATCACAAAGAAAAATTGGTAAAAAAAAAAAAGACAAGTAGTTTAAGAGAAGGAATACCAACAGAGAAGCTACCACCCTTGCCAATGTGGAGACAGAAACCAGCCCAGCAGAAATATACTATTGACTCAAGAAATCTATAAACAAGCAAGTGATACATGTTTATGGACTCACAGCTGCTAGAATGGCAAGCTTGTTTATCAAAAATGCATTCAGGTCAGGAAGGTTTTATACGATACATTTTTGACGTCCGCTGCACTTAAGCAACTGCTGCTGGCTGCACCTTTTCTGAACTGTTGCTCTCTAAATCATAAGCACCACAAGTGCCACAGGATATGAAACAGCACTTATATTGCTAAATTATCTGCCTGTGTCAATCAAGCAGGCACACAAGATACTTTAGAAGGCGTTTAGGACGATATCTCCATTCAGGTTTTGCTCAAGCTAACTTTATAAATTCTTCAAGGTCATGGGAAAATACGTCAACACTTTCCTTTGGTGAGCTTGGAGCAGAGTCAGTGTGAATCTTCCTGATTCACAACAAAGCAGAAAGTGCTCACATCAGCCTGCAACAGTGTGGAAAGTAATTCCCATGTGGAGGCTGTGTCACTGCACATCTGGTGGTGCACATTTACATGCTCTCCATCCACCTCACCTGGAAAGAATGCCTCCTGCATTTTCACAGGCCTAGAGATTTTAAATATATTAATTAGTAAGTTAGCCTTTTAAGTAATGAACTCCTGTATTCACTGTATGAAGCAGTAATGTTTTGCCAACATGGTCAATTTCAGTAATTTAATTCAAAGAAATGAATTTGCCAGAACCATACACTGGGCCTGTGAACTTTTCTTCAAACCCTTCTCCCATGACAACAAAAGTCATAGATTTTGGTACTTTACTACTGTCAGTTTTGGGTTTTTAGCTTTGGCTGAAGAAACATAACTAAATCAAGGGAGCCTAGCAGGACAATGTAAATTCTTAAGTGTTTCAGCAGGTGGCTCCCATGTATGAAACATAAGTCTTATACAAGTGTAATATAAAATACTGCAAAGAGGATTTTAAATATTTCACCTGTGTAAAACCCATGCATTTTCCAAAGCGAATTTTATACTTATACAGGTATTTTAAAGTGTTAAGAAACTTACCCCCATATTCTGCTCCCAGTCTCAACATTTAATGGATAGGAAAAACTTTTGCCCAGGGTATTTCCAGCTTATGGATGAGAACACCGAAAAGAAAAGGGTGATCTGGTAGAATGTGATCATTAAGCTTCTGAAAAGTTGGCGAAAAAAACAGGAATCCTCCATGCTCTTTGCTACTGAGAAAGTTTTCAGTAAAAGTAATGTTTTCCATATTTCTTATTAACTTTCCTGTAGAAAGTGGGACAGTCTTTGCACATATGGAGAAGTAATACATTAGTGTCAAGAAAACTATTCTGACACACAGTGGTCTCCCAACAGACTTGCAAGCCATAGGGTGTATCTCCCATCTTCCTGAAAGTCTTGACAGACATCTAAACCCATAGACTGAGTACTCTGTGCTTACTAACTAAATTAACTTGAATATCAAGCTAGGCTTCTCCAAACAAACGCCAAAAATCCTAAAGTGTACAATGCTCTGGCATGTGAATTTGATTAACAGACCTCAAATATTTACATACGTAAAAGTTTGGGACTTCTACAAATTAAGTGCCAGATGCCCTAAATCATAGACTTGAGGACTTTTACCCCAAATCTCCAACACAGTATGACTAAGTAATAACAAAAAAACCCTTCTACAAGCAGGATATTTACAGAAATATATGAAACAGAGAAACTTAAAATTCTTTTCTTCCTGTTGTTGATTTGGAACCCAAGGCTAACACTCAAGTTTTTTCAGAATCATACACTCAAGCTTTTTCAGAATACCATGAGTTTTTTCAGAATCATTAGATACTTAAAATTCTTCAAGAAAAAGAGAATATTCTGCTTTAGATATCAGCAAGAAGATACTAAAAAAAGGGCATTAAAATTACATACTTTTCATTGCATCCTTGTAGATGTCAATAAATAATTTGAGTATTTCACAAGGAAAAATCTCTTCATCTGGCAAACACTGCAACATAATGACAATTTCTGCCTGACCCAAACCATGCAGTCCATTTGTTGAGAAGTACCAGCACTTTTCTGAAGAATCTTTAATTAAAAAGATAGGTTCCACAGTAAAGCTATTTTACAGTCAGAAAAAGAAATCTGGATTCAATGGAATAGTGCATACTTACAGGTTATTAGCTTGATATTCACAAGCAAGTTTGCATTTAGGATAAAAGTTAACAGATTAGGACTTTCTTCCACAAGAAGCAAGGTGATCTTTTTGCGAGATGGATGTTCTTCCACTAGAGGATCTGAATGAATTGACACCCCATTTAGCTCAACATGTCAACCAAACACCCAAAAAAAGAACTGCAGATCACAGCATGTGAAAAAGACTGCCCTATCCCCCTATCTTAACAGGGTGGTAATTATTCTCAAACTTGTAATAGCTACAGATTAACCAATGAACAGCTTAGCTTGAGATTCCAGCAACGTATAATATAAACCAGTAACTTATAATAAAGGTAGAAACTAGGGCTATCATTCATCTGGCAATTACTGACTAATTGTGCATGCAGTCTCCTTACGCATACTCCAGTACTGTTTGTTACCATCAATGAGCAGTCACTATTGCAATGCATTTAAGTGATCAAGCATTCTTCTCATAATACACTGATCTTGTTAATAATGCATGTTCAATTATCCAACAATCCAATGTGCAACAAATAAATGAATTACTAGAATTGTATTAAAATATAAATTATATACACACAAATTTGTATTTAGACATCTTGCTAAATTTTCTCAAAGTTTACCTTTTCCTTTTTCACCCACTGCAAGCAGAAGCGGTGGCAGTTTATCACCATCAGGAACAAGGCTGATATCGTTGCGAACACAGTTCTCAACAGCACACAGTGCCCTGTAACTTGAAGGACTAACAGGCACATCACAAGTAGGCTGTTCAACCTAACTGGAACTAGTCTTCTCAGCTTCTGCAGCAGGAGAACACTCTTCAGTTTCTAGAATTACAGATGTATAACTATGAACCACCTCACTGTGGCCTGTAACAGCCTGCTGTGCATCATCTGAAGAAACAAAAGGACGTAATTCCTCCATTTTTGCAGTATCGTTACTTTCTTCTGTTTTGGATATACATCAGGCAATACGTCATCTTCCTCTGGGTTTGCAGCCTGTGAAGAATGAATCAGTAAATAAAAATATATACATTCATGTCTCAGAAGCTAAATTTTTATTACTAGCATTCTAAGAAGGAAAAACAGAGTTAAATTTATCATAAATTCTGAGAATGCATCTCCTCTAAACAATAAGCAACCCACCAAATCTCTCCTGGATCTTCCTTTTTAATTTTTTCCCCATCTTTAGGAGCTACCTAAGGTGAAGATTCATCATTAATGTATTTGTTTGGCAACACAAAATTCCTATCAGAACGCTGCAGACTAGTAATTTTTGCATACAACAGTCAAATGCAAGACAAACAACAGGAAACCAAGTACCTTTCCAGGAATCTGTTTAGTAGTATTGTTTCTCCACTCAGCTACTGAACACTGTCATCACTACTGTGCCAGCATTTAGATCAGTACTGCAAATGTATTTCTATTACTATATCATGTGCTAATAGTGGAGTCTAGGATTTTACAGTCTCATTAATTTATAGTTTGGAGTCAAAACTATGGTGCTCTCCCAACAAAGTGAGCAACCTATAAGCATAGGCACCTTAGGATATGGGCTGTCGTTAAAGAAACCCCAAACAAACAAAAAAAATCAAGAAGTGCGCTCTCAACTTTCAAGTATGTTAGACCTGCAACCTACCTCAATAAGGAAGACTTTGCATTGCAACAAGAAAAAACCTAACAACCCTAATAGTTGCCCTGTAATAGTTATCCTGGTATCCCGTCAGCTTCCAACAGATTCTCTGTTCAGATGATACATGTGCCAGAAAAATAAAATAAGTACATTAAAAAAAAAATACACCAACCCCAAAAGCAACACCCAGCACACAAAACTATAAGTAACTTGGCCTCTGATAGACTTCTTCTCCATGAATTTGCTTGCTGGTGTTTCGTATCACTTTATACTTTTGACCCTCATAGCACCCTCTGCCAGCATGTTCAGGATAATGCATTACCTAGTGAAGTACATCCTTTGTTTTAGAGCACAGTGGTTTTGTTTGAGCTTCTGAAGTTGCATGTAAGAACCATCAACAAATTGTTTCCCACTCACTTTGTCCAAGCTGCTTTTAATTGTAGACATTGCTCATCTTTTGCAAGAGAAAATGTCTTACTCTTTCCCCAAAATGGAAGTCAGGCTTTACCTTTTGATTACTGCAACTTACTGCAGACCTGCCTTGTTCAAATGAAGTCACATTTACTATTCTTTATGACTTCAGGGTGATTTACATGCTATACATGTGGAAACTGCTCAGATCCTCAAACAGTAATGATCTGGTCTAGTTGATAGCTTTACTAATTTGTTTCAAAAACTATTGAATGCTGTCAGAATCACAGAATTTATGTTACTACTTGAAACTGTGTTTCAGAGTTGTTTTATTTTAAAGAGGCTCCAGCTGAGGAATCCCTCCAGATCTTCCCGGAACAAACTCATACTTCTTTGGGTTTTCTTGTCAAGTATAACTAGTTCAACACCATGAATATGATCTAGTATAAAAAAAGTCAATCCCCCTGTCAGTTCAGTATTGAAACTGATGTGGCTTACTGTGTACAGGGGGGTTGTACAAGGGGGTTAGATAAAATGTACAGGGGGGTTGTACAAGGGGGTACTGCTTAAGTTATAGCTTGACAAGCTCAGCAAATGCCTTATCAGGCAGTACCAGGACAGAACCTCCTAATGAAGAGAACAGGTCATTAAATCAGTTGGACATAGACCAGACCCATCCAGTTTCTAAAGAGCATGCATGAGGACCAGAGGTAAAAAGTTCAAGCCTGAGAAAGACTCGTTTACTTCATCTTGAAGACCCCTACCCACAAGAGGAAGACTATTTACTTCATCCAAAGACGCCTGCCGAAGGCTACCAAGGAGGCACTGCGCATGCGTGGAGAGCCTTTTAGCTCATTAGAATACGAAGCGGGGAGAGAATATGAATATGTATAGGCGTACTGTGCAACCTAATACATATGTATGACTTTACAGGATAAATGTAGAAGGAAAACGGCACTGAGGTGCGCCTGCCTTTTGGAGGACCTATCCCCCGTGCGCCTTCAGCTGAATAAAGCATACCTACTTTACAACTTTAACGAGTTGTGAAGTCTATTCCGCCACCAATTTGGCGAGCCAGCCAGGAGACTTATGCTCGGCTGCAGGATCGGCGGAGGGGCGGACCTCCTAGGCGCCCCAGGCCACTTGCCTGGAGGGGCTCCACTCCTCGTCCGCTCACTGCAGGGACAGACAACAACCTGTGCCGGCTGCGGAGAAACGGTATGCTTGGAATTTAGGTTTCTAATTGTCCTAGGACTTGTAAAGGCCTGTAAGGCGTACGCGTGGCCGGCGCTGCTGGTAAGGCGCTCAGAGACGTCTCGCGCACAGCGTTGTTCCCATTGGTAGGTAGAGCTTGCAAGCAGGGGACTCACCGACCGATAGAGCGGCCGCTAGCGACCCTGGTAGTGGGTCGGGTGAGTCTAGGGATTCGTCTGCTGATAGAGCAGCAGTTTGCATGGGACGAATCCTAAACGAGCTCGGGGCTAAGGGAGCCCGCCGATAGAGCGGCTGAATCGAGCTCCAGGTTTCACTGAAGGGTGCGAGCGGCATCTGGTGAACCGGTGTAAGTGTGGGGGATCCCGAATGCAAGTGGTTTGTGTTTGTGTGACTGAGATGTAGCGTAGCTACGAAGCGAGTGCGGAGTCCCGATCCGCGGTTCCGTGTTCTCCGCGAGAGCGGCCGGAGACGGACGAAGCGTCTTTGTTTTGTGTTGTGTCTAGGTGCTTTATGTGCGTATATGTCTGTCGTTACTGTTAAAGATTACAGTGCTTAAGCGGTGGGGGAGGAGTAGACAAAAGTAAACTGTTGCTACTGGGGGAGGGGGGGGGGGGGTGTTAAGAAGAGTTCCCTCTGCGCCCCAGTGTCTGTATAACAGAAGTATAACCTCTAATGTCTGTAATCCTACTCTTGAGACGTGAACTTTACACTTGGTACCAGAGGCTTGTAGCCTCACATACGGGTGCACAATAACTTCTGAACAGTGGAACCTGCCGTGGACACTAGGACAGTGTAAATTTTGATGGAACCGAAACTATGATCCAACAACAAGGGAGTTGATCTGCAGAACCCAGAGATACTATTTTACTGAACCCCCTGAGAATATCATAAAACTCGTATGTAGGCGCTCTCATATTTTTTTAAGTGCATTTGCAGAGCACTGGGAAAAAGAAGCTATAGAGATTTGTAAAAGATTGTTTGAAATGGAAGCCGGTCAAAACAAGGGGATTCTGAAGAAAAGCCCATTGGGTTACATTTTGGCACACTGGAAAGAACTGGGAGGGTCTTCTGGGGGCTAGGTAAACAAGAAAACATTGATAAAATATTGTAACCAATGGTGGCCTTTGTATACTTTGGACGATCAGGAGAAATGGCCTAAAAATGGAACTCTGAATTATAATACATTGTTACAATGAATGTTGGGTTTTGAGGTGGCCAGGAAAATGGGATTAAGTACTATATACAGATACGTTTTTCACTTTAAGAAACCACCTGGAGTGGCAGGCAGAATGTGAAATTAATATCGCTCTGCCAGATCCCCAATTTTGGCTTCGGAAAAGGACAGGGAAAAACTGGAAGCTAAGCTGGAGAGATGTTGTTCGGCCTGGGATATTGGGGGAATGATGTTTAAAAGTTATAAATAGGAAAATTATGTATCACAGATACCTCCGAGAGGAGCACCCTCTGTATCTGTCCTATCAGATATTGATAAGGAGGAGGAGATTGCTGTCACCTGCAACAAGCAGCTCATTCACATTAAACCAGAAGTGCAGCTGCAGGGGCAGGCATCTGAAACCTCTGCAGAGCAGGGGGAGCAACTGAGGGAAAAAAAAACCAAAACGAAATCAAGTGGAAAGGAGGGGAGCTCGCGCAGCTCCCGTGTTTGAGCACGGGATGGGCGCTGGGGCAGGCAAACAAGTGGATTCTTCTCCTATGGGACCGGATCGGTGTGTGTGTGCTGTGGGGAGTTTTGAACGTTGGAAGTGAGACTGCTCTGCGGGGGAGGGAGTGCCATGGGGTGGCTCCGGTGGCTGAATTGGAACTAGGCTGACAAGGGACCTGGGGAATCTATCCTAGCAGATCCACTGGCTAAATTAAAACTATGGACTAGAGGAAATAAAGTGGAATTTTAGTGGATACAGGAGCAACTTATTCGGCGTTAAATCAGAGGGAAAAGAATTTGTTACAGATGTGGGAGCTACTGGCCACCAAGGAAAGAAAAAAAAGAAAAAAAAAACGGAAAAAAAACCCGAAGAAAAAAAAAAAAAAGAAAAAAAGAAAAAAAAGTGCAAAACGACGCAACCCTTAAAGTACAAATTGGGATAACAAATAGGAATGCATAAAATTTTTATGCATGCTAAATTCTCTGAAATCTTCATTAGGGCAAGAAGCAACATTTAAAGGCAAAACAGAATTAAGAGTTAAAAAGAATTAATTGCAGTTTTGAGTTTAACAGAAAAAGCAAACAGGAGGATCTCCCTGAAATGGAAGAAATCCTTGCTGAAGTTCCAGGTAAGGCGAAAAATGCTTTGCCTGTTAAAATAGAAATAAAAAGGGGGGCCTGCCCAATTAGAATAAAACAATATCCCTTAAAATTAGAAGATCAAAGGGGATAAAAAAATCATTGATATATTTTAAAATATAGATTATTAATTGAATGAATTGGAATATAATATTCCTATCTGGACAGTAAAGAAATATAATGGGAAAAGTTGCAGACTGGTTCATGGTCTCAGGGCAATCAACAAAATTGCAGAGCATATTCGTCCAGTAGTAGCTAATTCGATGACTTATTAACTAAATTGAATAATAATCAGAAATGGTTTGCCGTTCTGGATTTAAAGGATGCTTTCTTTTGCTTACCATTAGCCAAAGAAAGCCAAAATTTATTTGCTTTTGAATGGGAAAATCCTGATACAGGAAGGGAAACTCAATTAACTTGGACAGTATTATCTAAAGGGTTTAAAAACAGTCTAGCAATTTTTGGAAATCAGCTAGCATGAGAACTAGAATCATGGAAGCCACCTACTCAGACGGGGACTCTGTTACAACATGTGCATGACCTGTTAACTGCTACAGAAACAAAGGAAGAACGTATCCAGTGGACAATGGAATTATTAATTTTTTTGGACTGAATGGTTATCGGGTATCCAAACAAGGCCCAACTAATCCGAACCCGAGTTTCCTACCTAGGATATGAAATAACAGGAGGACAGAGAGAACTTGGAACTGCTAGAAAAGAAGCCATTTGCCAGACTCCAAGACCATCGACCGTCAAGGAGCTCCAGACGTTCCTGGGAATGACTGGATGGTGCAGACTTTGGATGCATGATTATGGTGTTCTGGTAAGACCCCTATCTGAACTGTTAAAAGAAACCCCTCTCTTTGCAATGGACTGGTTCAGCAGAGGAGGGCTTTAGAAATTAAAAACCAGAGCTAATGAGAGCTGCAGCTCTGTGACTTCTGGATGTGACTAAATCCTTTTGGCTATATTCCTGTTAAGAACAGGGAATAGCTTTGGTGGTCCTTACTCAGAAATTAGGACCCTATAAGAGGGCAGTGGTGTATTTTTCAAAACAGCTGGATGAAGTGAGCAAAGGATGGCCTGGGTGCATAAGGGCTGTGACAGCAGTTGTCATGAATATTGAAGAGACTCGCAAATTCACCTTGTGACAAAGGATTACTGTGCTAGTGTCCCATGTGGTATCAGCAGTCCTGGAACAGAAAAAAGCCCACTGGTTATCTCCTTTATGTTTTTTAAAATACCAGGCCACCCTTGTGCAACATGATGATACAGAAATTGTGGTCACCAATGTTGTCAATCCAGCATCCTTTTGCAGAGCAATCAACAGAACTATTAACACCTGACTGCTTGGCCACGATGCAAAACTGTATATTCAAGCCAACCAGATCTGAAAGAAACCTCTGGAACATGCCCTGGAATTAGCTAAGGACAAAAGGATAAATATTTGGACTGATTCTAAATATGCATTTGGTGTTGTCCATCCACAGTGTGCCATCTGGAAAGAATTAGGACCTTTTGAACACACAGGAGAAACAGATTAAACATGCTACAGAAATTCTGTGACTACTGAAATCTGTTCAGCTACCTAAGGAAGTAGCTGTTATGTATTGTCAAGGGCATCAACAAGGTGAATCTGATCAGGAAATTGGAAATAATTTGGCCAAATTTGAAGCCAAACAAGCAGCTGAACAATCTAAACTCATTCCCTTAATCCCTGACGGCAAACTAACAATTGAGAAATCTAAACCTACATATTCAAAGGAGGATAGAAAATTGATTGGAGATCTCAAAAGAGAGGAAAACAAAGAAGATTAGGTTCAGGTACCTGATGGACAAATTATAAAACTCATTAAGGTAGCAACTCTTTGTATTAGTACTTACATCAACAAATTGAAGGGAGGAATTTATATAACATAATTCAATTAATGACAATGTCAGCTCTGTCTCAAGAATAACCCTAAAATTGAAAGTAGAAATCCAATGGGTACAACTGTGGAAAAAGTTATCTGGGACAGCACTGACAAATAATTTTTTCTGAATGATCAAGACCAATATTTGTTGGTGTTAACGAATACTTTTTCAGGGTGGCCAGAAGCATTCCCTTGTAGAATAGTAATAGAATAAAAGTAACAGACAAGTAATTGGAACATTGTTAAACAGTGTCATACCTTGTTCTGGAGTACCAGAGGCAATTTCATCTGACTGAGGCTCACCCTTTAGTACAAAATAGTTACAAGAAATTAGCAAAGATTAGAAATTGATTGGCAACTGCATGCTCCGTGCAGGCCTCAGGCCAACGGGCAAGGAGAAATAAAAATCTGATAACCAATTAGGCCCTAAATGCGACCCCACATTAAAGACTCGGGGCCATACAAAGCGATTCTGTGCTGCACTGTTTTTGCCAAACGTAGCAACTGGAAAAGCACTGGCAGATATTCATCGCCTCGCATGTTGGACAGCACAACAGCTAAATATTACCTCAAATGTAATCTATTCACTCGCTACAGACGCAGATAGTATATGACATGCATCTTTACAAAATAGGGCAGCTATAGACTTTCTCTTCCTAGCCCATGGTCATGGATGGGAAGATTTTGAAGGTATGCATTGTATGAATTTAACAGACCATTCCAAATCCATCTATGCCAAATTACAAGAATTACAGGAAAACATTGGAAGAAATTGGAAGTTGTTGGAGGGTTGGATGATTGGTTGAATGGATTTGGGATTACACGCTGGACTAAGGAGTTAATCAAACAAGGGATTTGGATTCTGGCTGTAGTTCTTTTAGTTTTAATGACAATTCCATGCTTAATCCAGTGTGTATCAAATATGTTTCACAGATACATTGAAGGGACCTGGGTACCTCTTAAGTAAAAGAATTTACTTAATTTTATAGAAAAGGGGGAAATTGAAACTGATGTGGCCTATTGTGTACGGGGGGGTTGTACAAGGGGCTTAGGTAAAATGTACAAGGGGGTACTGCTTAAGTTATAGCTTGTTTGACAAGCTCAGCAAATGCCTTATCAGGCAGTACCAGGACAGAACCTCCTAACGAAGATCCCTGCCCAAGACCACCAGGAGGCACTGCGCATGCGTGGAGAGCCTTTTAGCTCATTAGAATACGAAGCGGAGATAGAATATGAATATGTATAGGCGTATTGTGCGACCTAATACATATGTATGACTTTACACGATAAACGTAGAAGGAAAACAGCACTGAGGTGCGCATGCTTTTTGGAGGACCAATCCCCCGTGCGTCTTCAGCTGAATAAAGCATACCTACAACTTTAACGAGTTGTGAAGTCTATTCCGCTATCAAGTATTAGTTAACATTAGAAGCAATACACAGATCTTGCTGCACCATATAGCATAGTACTCCAGGGCATTAAGCAACTTACGATTAATCCAACCCAACAGGCAAACTATAGCAAGCCACTGAAAAAAACAAAAAAAAAAAAAACCCACAAATTTCTATTATAATCATGTTGTTAATGGCAGGTTTAAGAACTATGACTGAGGTTACCCTCATAGAGGTAGTTAATCAAGGGCATGTAGAAAAAAACCCCAAGCTTATTTTGGAAAATTGTCTGCCATACCATTTTTAAAGCTCACATATATTACTAACCAAACATGGTCTCCTTTAAGTATGGTCTACATATGATGTCAGCCCAAGGATTTCACAGCCACCACCCAAGAAATAATCAAGTAGTAGTTCAGATTCCAAAAACTGTAAAACGAAAGTCGTATTATGGTACATAAGGGACCCCATCAATAGCAAGCAGCGCTATTTCAAGAGGCAATTCATGCACCTACACATGCTTCTTAATTCATACCATATGCATCCCTGGCAAGTCAGGGTTTACTGGACTTAAGTCCTCTGATGACCCCCTTGCTCCAGATGAAAGTTCTGTTGTTTCTGCCACTTCACCATTTGGTAAAATCCCATCTGCAAACCAAACTCTCCTCTGTTCTTTGGGGCACAGCCCTAGGACAGGTTGAGAAAACAACACTGGCTTCATACTATTGTACTGTTCTGAAAGCTGAAAGGATAAAAATTAAGCCCCTTTTCCACCCGTATATACAAAGAATCAGTTTACTGGCACCACCACAGGTAGACAGTTTGACATCATCCAGGCTTCAGTCATGCAAAAAAAAAAAAAAATCTCATGCAAAAAACCCTCATAATTGTAGAAGCAGCTGCCATGCTATACTTAAAGCTACCAATTCCTATATAAAGAAGTCAACTTCCTCAATCACCCCTCTGTAATAAGGTGAGAATGAAGTGCATTTCACAACTAAGAGATGAAATACTCTCTAAAAATAACTTTATCACTGTGTTTAAAAAATTTATTTTTACTGAAGGTCAGATGTTTAACAGAAGTGGAATAAAGACACTACTTGGCCACCCGTCATTCATACTTACACAGAAAAAGAATCCCTACTGCTCCCTAGCAAGTTTTCCTTTAGCAACTACTTTTTGCTTTTACTGCAAGACAATGCAAGCCAGAGATCTTTTACACTATATAGAAGTTATGAAAGTAGTATCAACACACACACACAAATATTACAACATAAACAGAGGATGATTAAAAAAATAACATCCATGTTAGATAAATGGAGACTTAAGATAAATGGAAATTTAAGACAGGCTTGATCAAACCTGGTCAGTTGCTGGGGTGAGTAGCTTTGAGAGAGGACGCCTGCAACACCGGAGCGGAGCGAAGCGTCCAGGAGCCTCACCTCGGAGCGACAAGAGCCACCCAGGAGGGAGCCTCAAGTCCTCGACAGGACTTGCCCAGCAGCCGGCAGCTCAGCTCAGCTCAGCTCAGCTCACCCGAGGAGCTGACTCACCCGGGGCGCAGCCAGGAGGCTCGGCGGCAGCTGTGAGTGGTTAAAAACCTGCCCTGGGAGAGCGAGCGACTGGGAGTGCAGCGAGCAAAGCCGCTCGAGGCAGTTTGCGCAGCAGTACAAGAGCGGGCAGGAGAGCGGGATAACTGTCTGATCAAGAGGACTCGCCTGGAGTGCAGCAGGAGGAAGGCCTGCCTGCTTGCTTGTGCGGACAGACGTAGCCAGAGCGATCAACCACATCATGGTCAAAACATGATCAAAAGCTGTAGTGAGGAATGACTTGAGTACCCAGACTGAGCCTTCCTGCAGACACGCGGCCGTGCAGGTCTCTGGCTGCAGTAAATGCCTGAGCCTGGCACATGTATTGGAGAGAGCCAGTGACACTGCTTGTGTGCGGTGTGAGCGAATAAATAATCTGATCAGGCAGGTGGTTGAAATGAGGGAGGAGGCAGAAAGGTTGAGAGCCATCAGAGAATGTGAAAGTGAAATAGATTGGTGGAGCCACACCCCAAGGCAAGGGCAGAGGGAAGTGGTTGAACAAGTGGTGGATCCCCTTCCCTCCCCCCATCAGACAGAAGGAGAGAACTTAAGGGACAAGGAGGTATGGAGGGAGGGCCCTCCTCGGAGAGGTAAGTGAAAACCCTCGCGATCCCTTCCTTCCTCCCAGTTACCCTTGAGTAACAGGTATGAAGTCTTGGAACTACAGGGCCAGGTAAATGGAGATGGAGGGGTGGATCTATCTAGTGAGTCACCTACGGCTTGTCACTCACCCTCATGCCTTAGAACTTCTTCAACCAAGAAGAAAAGAAGAGTAATTGTGGTGGGTGACTCCCTTCTGAGGGGAACAGAAGGGCCCATTTGTCGACCAGATCCATCCCACAGGGAAGTCTGCTGCCTACGTGGGGCTCAGATTAGAGATGTTAAAAGGAAACTCTCTGATCTCATGCAGCCCTCTGACTACTATCCACTGCTGGTTTTTCAGGTTGGCAGTGATGAAATTATTACAAGGAGGGCAAGGGCAATGAAGAGAGACTTCAGGGCCCTGAGACAGTTGGTTAGAGGGTCTGGAGTGCAAGTGGTGTTTGCCTCCATTACCTGTTACAAGCAAGGGTGAAGAGATAAATAGAAAGAGTCTGCAGATTAATATATGGCTACATTACTGGTGCCAAAGGCAGGGTTTTGGCTTTTTCAATCATGGGCTGCTATATGAGACACCTAGTTTGCTGTTGGAGGGTGGGATACACCAGTCCCAGAGGGAGAAAAGGTTTTTGGGGCAGGAGTTAGCAGGGCTCATTGACAGGGCTTTAAACTAGATATGAAGGGGGAATGGGAGATAACTGGGCCTGCTAGGGACAAGCCCAAGAGAAACATGCTAGGGCTTGAAGGATGGCAGACTAGGGAGGACTCTCAATCTATTGCTTCATTTGAGGGAAAGGATAGTTGTTTAGACCCTGTCCCGCAGGTTTTTTTGGGTTTGGATTTTTTCTGGGTTTTTGTTTGGTTGTTTTTTGTTTTTGTTTTTTTTTTTGTGAGTTTTTTGCTGTTTTTGTTGTTTTGGTTTTTTAATAAAAAATAATCAGATTGCTACTCAAAATTTAACGCAAGAACTGAAATCAAATTAAGACGTACAACTATGCTCTTCCTCCATCCATCTCAGAAAGAGGAAAACATGCACCAATTAAAGTAACAGAAGCTCTTAAAGAATTAAGGTTAAAGTGATGCTAGCTGTACCTATTCTTCTTTAATGATTACTGCAATTAATCAGAAAACCTTTTTACCTTTATTGTTATTATAGCAGCCAGTACACACTCTTGCTTCCTTCTCCATGTACTGTAACTTGCATTTTCGTTTGCAACAGGCACCACAAAAAACCTAAACCAGAAAAAGACTGAATTAAGTATTACAGACAAAAATCACATTATCTCCTAAATTAAGTTCCTGTTGTTATTAACTCCTTTTACTAAGAAGGACTGCATTATATAAGCATGCACACACATTTTTCAGAGTATGGCAGCATAAAAAGAGCTTTATCATGTGTACCTTAGAATACATTTCTCTTTGAGGATAAGGAAAGTACTAGCCTAAAAAGTCTTTCAGCACATTCAGCTCTGGGGGCCCCAACACAAGAGGGACATGGAGCTCTTGGAGCGAGTCCAGAGGAGCCATGGAGATGCTCAGAGAACTGGAGCAGCTCTGCTCTGGAGACAGGCTGAGAGCTGGGCTTGTTCAGCCTGGAGAAGAGCAGGCTCCTTAAGGGGAGACCTTAGAGCTTCCAGTGCCTAAAGGGGTTAAAAGAAAGCTGGAGAGGGGCTTTTGGCAAGGGGGAATGGTTTTAGACTGACAGAGGGGAGACTGAGATTAGATTTTAGGAAAAAGTTCCTCCCATTCTCACAGAGAATGATGAGGTGCTGGCACAGGCTGCCCACAGAAGCTGTGGCTTCCCCAACCCTGGCAGTGCTCAAGGCCAGGCTGGACATGTCAAGTGAAAGGTGCCCTTTCCAGCCCAAACCAGTCTGTGATTCTGTGATTAAGAATTAGAAAAGCTCCACATTTTGGGCCAAACCACAAAGTCTGCTAACTCTGCTTTTGTCAAGGGTTCTTCCGGTCCCATTCCCCTGAACTGCACCACAGGCTATCTGTATCGTCACTGCTGAAATTTGCCTGTTACTTCTTTTGGACCAAGGCAATACTTAGATGCCTACAAACCAACCTTCCTTCAAACCAATCACACCCACATTACACAGCCAAGCACCAAGCTCCTGGCAACACATTCTCAGCTGTGATATGGAGCAGAATCTGAAGTTTCTTGGTGTGAGTGGATCTAAACACATAAGGCCATTTGCCCACAAAACAGCTAAAAGTGGATTTATTTTTTTTTTTTACAATCATAGCTGGAAGCAGCTGGTATACAACTTCACAGCAATCAGAATACTATCTTAATTTCTCACGCAGAAACTTAAAGAAAAAATATCTAAACTAAAACCCACAGCATGTACACAACAAAGAGCAGCAACAAGGATGACATAAGTGATATTGAATGTATATTATCTAGAATGATGAAAAGGATTCCAGGGTACACCACCTATTCTAAATTCACTCATACTTCTGTTAATCCTGTAACTATTTTACATGAAACAACAGCGACAGGAAGATGGACTCAACCCCAGAACTGGGTCAGATTTGTTTTACTGCTTTAGTATTATCTCTGAGGATAGATGTTGAAATCTTTCATTAGGGTTCAGATAATGGTTAAACAATCCAGTCTCATACCAGCAAAGATCCATTCTTTACCCATTGATCTTGAAGTCCCTCCATAACAAGCATTACCAGTTTGCCAGAAAATTCTTCTATATCACAGACAACTGTCTAATCCAGAGCTCACTGCATCCCAATGTATTTGCCAAATCTGGTTCAGGAACAATGCTGGCTAAGTAGGCTCCCCAGTTTTGTCAGAAAGAATAAGCATAGTTGCCTTTATGTTAGTCACTCCCTTCAAAGTATTTTAAAAGCTTGTTGAAGACTGATTTGAAAGAACAGAATATGCTCTTCTATACGAACAGTATATATATATATATATATATATATCCTGGTTTTAACTTGGAATGGGGGGGTGAAAATGCATGTCTTTAGCCTGGACTACAACTGCACAATGCTGTTCAGAGAATTTAGTGAAACTGCTTTCTGCAAGAATTCCCATAAATATCTGATGCTTTTCTCGCTTTTCCTTTATGTTCTTTCAGGGTGATTTGCAGATTTTTAAAGAGTCCTGCCACTTTTAGCTATAGGCAGACCCCTAGAGTCAGATTTAGCCTTTACAAAAGGAATCTTTTGAAACCCTGCTCTGACAGAAGCCTTCTACCACTGAGAGAGTTAAGGAGGTGCAAAGAACGCTTAATCTCATGCTACTTCTAATTATCTTCAGGAGAATGCAGTGGATTAAAGGAAACCAAAAAAAAAAACCAAAACAAACCGAAAATCAAAACCAACCAAACAGCAGTGATGGTTGAAATAAAATTATTACAAGTGAACTCCTTCAAGTAGGGAAAGTCACTGTAAGGACAGTAATATGGGACCAGTGTAGCACAAGAAAGAAACTATTCCAATTGTTTCTGCATTAGTGTTACAGAGTTACCCAACTGAAAATGCACATGCTCAGTAAATATCTCAAGAATGTAACTTGTGAAGATTAACTGCTAATGAGTTACAATCCACTTTAGGGCTTCAAATGCTAAGCTATAAAATCCTACAAAATTGGTATCCTCTTAAATTTCATGCCACTGGAACCAACAGCTTAATCTTAATGCAGAGGAAACAAGAAGCAAAGACAAACTAAAGGGACAGGTAATGCAACAGGGAAAATAAGATGAAGTTGAGGCTGCTGAGCGAAGAAATCCATCCTGGTTGAGCTAGGAAGAAGGGTACCACAACAAGAGATAAACACCTCAACAAAGAAACTGTGAAGTTGTCTCACCTCGCAACTGTTGCAGATGAAAGGGAAAGCAGAGACTACTAATCTGACACTTCACTCCAGCACAGAAGCCAGAATTCACAAGTGTTGCCATTTTCATTGATAGAAAAAGCTGCAGGATCATGTGAAAACTACAAAGTTGTCTTCCAGAATAGTCCAGAAAGGATAACAGTGAATTCTTATCTGTTTGTCCTCATTTCCAAGTGGCTGAAAACACCACAACCCACAACAGGTCCACAAGGAAATGTTTTAGGTTTCAGTTGTTGTTTTAAGACAAAAAGCTACCATTAAAAAGACACAGAGTCTTACAAGACAGAAAGTTAAGCTACTGCACATTCAGAAAACCTATGGCAATTACAAATGCATACCACCCAGTATCTGTAAAGTTCAGATAACTCATATTGCCTTCACTCATTCTCCCAATGAACACGCATGGTGATGCCCCTCCTAATCTATTCTTCCGCCAAAACCTCCTCTGTTAACACACAAGATCAACACCACTAACAGCTGATGGCTGTAAACAGGACTGTGCAATGGGGGCTTAAATCCCTTTCTCTAAACAAGGTACAAAAATTTCACAGCAAATGCAAAAAGGAACTTCAAGACAGTCTTTCAACTAAAATGAAACACACTGAAGAACTGTGCTTTAAACTGCTACAAAGCTTCAACAGGATATTCTGCCAAATGGCTAAGTTCAATGACTAGTAGGCTATCACAATGTCAAGTTCTTCATTCTCTTGGTAGCCAAATTCAGACCTACATTTTAGTTCACTAAGCTTTTAATACACATTGCTAGAAGAGGCATCCTGGGGAAAAACAGCCAACACTCTCTACATTGGAGATGCAAAAAGTGAGTGAGTACTGATATTAGTCTGTACTTTACATCCTTATCCATAAAGCTTACTTTATGGATAGGCGACAACTCAAAAGTAAGTTCACTAGTAGCTTTAGTATTTCCATTTATACACTAGCACAAGCATAAACCACAGCAGCTCACAACAGAATTCTGGATTAAGAATAAGCTTTGGTGTTATCCATTCACTGCAGAAGACCACAGTCTGAAAAAACTTTTACAGATTACTTGCTGAGTTGGCGAGTACCATTCATGCCATCAAAGTAGCACACTTTTCCCCTCCCGAGATGACTCCCCTAGAAAATTATACTTCTAAACACATGGGAGGACAGATTTAGGCTATAAATCCTTTGCCTTGGTACTGCTGTTACAGCTCCTGAAAGAATGCAATCTTTCCAGATTCATGGACAGTGTTTTACAGCTGGTATAACCACTTACCCAAACTCAAATTGTCATCATCACCACCTCATTTTTTCTAAGCTTTAATACTTAAGCTCAACTTGAAAGCTGTGTAAAAAGCCAATTCACTACAACTACTAAGAAGGAGTCCACTGTCTCCCTTCCTTATTCTATACAAAAGATATCAATCCAGTCAGGAATGGAAGATACAATAAGAACTTAATTACTTTTTATGTAAAGTCATGCATTTCCTAATTATCAGTCTTTTCCAACAGTCTTTAAGTTCAGGTGAAGGTAGAGACATATACATATATATATTTTTAAAATACTTTAAAAGCCTTGAAAAAGACCTGTCAATATCCTTCCCCTTCTGTACTTTGGTTATTCCTAAATCAGGATTAATTTGCTTTCAGTATCACAGGGCCCCTCTCCAGTAACTCACCTTTCCACATGCACGACAGTGGTGCCGTCTTTTTGTAAAGGTGAACTTGACTTTGCAGTTCATGCAGTTGGGTGCCTCTGAATCAGGAACCCACAGTGGTTGTTTCCAGGACAGAACTGCAGGTATTTTAAGTGATTTCACATTTTCAGATGTTTGATTTCCTCCAGCTTCAGAACAGCTATCCCCGGAGTGCTCAGGGTAAGGATTTTTGCCAACTTGCTGGCTGTTGCCTGAGAGGGGAGCTTCTGGGATAACAGAACTGGCTTCCTGATTCTCCCTCTCAAGTACATCTGTTATTTTCTGTTGTCTTTGACCAATGGCTCTGTGGGAAAGGCAAAGCAACTGCTTTGGTCTTGCACCTTCAGCATGAACACTAGGAACTAGTGCTTCACTACTGCTCTCAATCATGTCCCGACTTCCAGACATATTCTCTTCTGTTGCAGATTCCAATTCACTGGCAGTAAGAGATATTTCAAGATTATCACTAATGCTTGTTATCTCTTCCAGTTTTGCTTGCATGTGTTCTTCAGTGAGCTCTGTGAAATCCAGGTTGCTCACATTTATTAAATTCCCTTCATCTGCATCAGCTTCCATTAAGTTACTATCATCATCTGAAGCCTTCAACACACTGGATTGAAGACTTTGTCCATACAAGAAATCATCAAGCTCAGCATCGCTTATTAGAGTATTGCTTTTAATAACTTTCTCCTCCACAGTGAAGTCAGACATAACTGGGCTCAGACTTTCACTGTAATAAGAGTCTACACCAACACCATATAGCTCAGCTTCATAGTCTAGGAAGGGAGAAGCAAAAGCTTCAATTTGCTGAGAATCACTGTCATCAATTACATTTTCATTATTACACCTCTCTTCATCTGTACTTTTTTTCACAATACTTTCATGGATTTTATCTACATATACTTCTGGTTCACTCAAGTCAGTGTTTCCACAGGATTCCCTACCACAGAGATCAGTTTTAGACATTCCAGCATGAATAGCTGAAGTATCACTAATAACCTCAGCCACATTTTGAGGCAAGGGAGCAATTTTTTCGTCTGTTACAACTAAAGAACCCCATATAGATACAGGAAGTGGAAAACACAACAGCGGAGTCTGGATGTCCTCAACTGAAATACATGGGGTTGAAACACTCTTTAGTATCTCATTGCTATTAAGTTCTTTAGTACCTACATTCTCTTCTATGATTTTCTTTTCCAGTTCTACTTTAGATCCTGTTTCAAATGAGGAGCCTGGTAAAACAGCATTTACAGGTAATTCTGCATGTCTTTTGTGCAACTGAGGCCTCCCTGGCAGATCTGAAGGCATGGATTCAATACTGGTCTCATCCTTTGTGTCTACCTTTTCTGTAGCATCTCTTCCATACATCTCTTTGCTTGATGCAGAACCTGCACTTTCATCTTGTGGTTCACAAATCAATTTTTCATATGCTTTCTCATCTTCAGGACTGTACACATTTGAACCCTGTAATGTTACATGTGCCAGATCAAGGTAAGCAGTTTGTTCAAGCTGCTCGGGTACTTCATTGCACTTTACAGATTCTGTCCTGCGTTGCTCATCACATGGAATCGAGATCTTTGCTGCAACATAACTGTCTGATTTTAAAGCAAAATTATTAACCTCCTCAGTTTTAAAACTTCCCAATTCCTGTAGGGTTGAGCTCCCATCACTCTGCTCTGTAGCTGAAACACTGCTAACACCAGCTGATGACACACAGGTAGTAACAAGTATGCAAGATACACCAAAGCCAGTCAAGCTTTCACTGCACTGGAAGTCATCTGGCTGCAACTTTTGAGTATCTTCCTGAGCAGCCACTGAGTGGATAAAGGTACCTGTGTCATTAACCAGATCACACACAGGTGAACTGCAGATTCCCAGGTTTGAAGCCTGAATTTCATTTAAGGAACTGCTATCCACAGTGGACAAAAGATCAGGTCCAGAAACATTCTGTTGCTCGTTTTGTGGTGAGTAACTTGGAAGCACTTTAGGTGCTCCAAGGTGGCTACCTAGAGAGACCTCTTCTGATGAAGTACAACTGTTGGCATTCTCTTGTAGTTTTGGTGTTGGGTATACACACTGTAAGCAATCCAGAACTGAAGACAGTGAATGGTGTTTTGAGTCATATGAATTTTGGGGTGCCCTGTAGCAGGCATATTCATCTGTTTAAAGCAAAAAGAAATAAAAAAACAGTGTGTATAACTCCTGTCTCTCAAAGTGTATTCTCTCTAAATCCTATCTTTGATGAATACAAACTTTCACTTGGCATAGGCTACTTTCAAATTCCATGGTAACAATCATCTGACCAAAATCACTCTACTGGAGAACAAGGCAGTGCAGGAACTAACCTGTATTCTGTTCAAATTCATTGAGTAGTTTGTCCAAGTCAGAAACGGCAGCTTTAAAGTAACTGTCCATTCTAGACACAGTTCTAGTGAAGTCCTAGCCTTCTTAAACCTAAAAAGAGAAACAGAGAGACTGTTGTGGTCTTTCATTCACGACACTTTGCTCTTTACAAAGTATTATTATTGGAAGACAACTTCTATGAAATACTCTTTTCCCTTTTTAATAACACTTTCACCTTGCTCCATGTGAACAAAATGCAAGCACAAACAGGGCTACAGGCTGTCGGCCTCCGTGTACACTGAATACATTCTGTATTACACTATGCACAATACACCCAAAAATACACCCTGAATTAGGAAATCGAGGGTGTCTTACTAAAGCAAAATGCAGCCGAATGCACATACTATGGCATTACAATGTCAGAAAGTTCAATACCAGAAGGATACTATGATTTGCTAGTTTTACTCCTCATGTTTTGTGCCATACAGTTCACATGCAAAGCCCCAAAAAAGGCCATTATCCCCCTTGAAGCACAAGTGAACTGTTTAAATAAATGATGCCTATATAATCTTAGAGACATTTCTTAATTAAGCTGGAGAATGAAGTTGCTAAGCCACTGTTCATCATAATTGAAAAATCATGGCAATAAGGTGAAATTCCCAATGGCTGGAAAAAGGGAAATACAACTCCCATTTTCAAGTAAGGCAAAATGGAAGACATAGGAAACTACAGACCAGTCAGTCTCACCTCTGTGCCTGGCAAAATCTTGGAGCAGATTCTCCTGGAAAGCATGCAAAGGCACATGGAGAACAACAAGGTGCTTGGTGACAGCCAGCATGGCTTCACTAAGGGGAAATCCTGCCTGACCAATTTGGTGGCCTTCTATGATGGGGCTACGGAACTGATGAACAGGGGTACAGCAGTTGCTGTCATCTACCTGGACTTGTGCAAAGCATTCAACACTGTCCTGCATTACATCCTTGTCTCTAAATCGGAGAGACATCAAATTGATAGGTGGACCACTCGGTGGATAAAGAACTGGCTGTTGGCCTCATACAAACAGTTGTGGTCAACAGCTCAATGTCCAAGTGGAGACAGATAATGAGTGGTGTCCCTCAGGGATTGGTGTTGGGACCGATCCTGCTCAACATCTTTGTTGGTGATGTGGACAGTGAAATTGAGTGTGCCTCCAGCAAGTCAGCAACAACACCAAGCTGTGTAGTTTGGTTGATATCCTGAAGGGAAGGGATGCCATCCAGAGGACCCTGACATGCTTGTGAGGTGGGCCAGTGCCAACTTCCCAAAGTTCTGCAAGGCCAAGTGCAAGGCCCTACACCTTGGTCGGGGCAATCTCAGGCACAGCTACAGGCTGGGCAGAGAAGAGATTTAGAGCAGCCCTGCTGACAAGGACTTACGGGTGTTGACAGATGAGAAACAGAACATAAGCTGGCTTCAGTGTGTGCTCACAGCCCAGAAAGCCAGCTGTATCCTGACCTGCACCAAAAGTGTGACCAGCAGGTTGAAGGAGGTGATCCTGCCCCTCCACTCTGCTCTCATGAAGCCTCATTTGGAGTATTGTTTATAGTTCTTGTGTCCTCAACATAAAAAGGACATGGAACTGTTGGAACAAGTCCAGAGGAGGGCAATGAGGATGATCAGGGGGTTGGAGTGCCTCCCATATGAAGACAGGCTGAGAAAGTTGGGCCTTTTCAGCCTGGAGAAGAAGCAGCTGTGCAGAGACTTCAGAGTAGCCTTGTAGTACCTGAAGGGGGCATACAAGGATGCTGGGGAGGGACTCTTCATTAGGGACTGTAGTGATAGGACAAGGGGCAATGGGTTTAAAGTTTAACAGGGAGAAGTTTACGTTAGATATAAGGAAGAAGCTCTTTACTGTGAGGGTGGTGAGGCACTGGAATGGGTTGCCCAGGGAAGTTGTGAATGCTCCATCCCTGGCATTGAATGTTCAAGGCCAGGTTGGAAGGAGCCTTGGGCAATATGGTCTAGTGTGAGGCATTCCTGTCCATGGCAGGGGTGTTGGAACTAGATGATCTTAAGGTCCTTTCCAACCCTAAATATTGTATGATTCTATGATTTCATGCTTTTAAGCAAAAATAGGAACCACAAAACGCATCTTTCTTTCTGACAACCAGTTCAACATTAAGTATATGAATGTGAGACTTGAAGAAGCAAGTTCTCTTAGTTCCCAAGCTATGCAAACAATCTCAATTATTAAAAACAATCTCAGCTATGACCAAATGTTTCAGATAAGATGAAACACGGGCTAAAATTTAAAATACATCAACAACTGTAAAGCAGAAAATGAACTGAAACATGAGGAAGTTGTCTACACAGAGCTGCAGCATGTGGGCACAGGTCAGTACTCCTCCCCCACAATGATCAGTGAGTGGCCTTTAAATCTTCTTATACCTTCCTCCAAGGCCAGGGAAAGAATCCAGCATGATAATCATCATCTCTATTCTACACAAAGCCCATTACACTTCTGAGTCATAAAATAGTAATAATTTAAAAGCCCTCTTTTAAAAGACATACCAACTCATCAAAAAGCTATTTATTAATCACATTCGCTACTGCAAAACTTCCCATTTAATTTGTTTAATGAAGATTTCCAGTCACCTAAGGGTATGCCTTTTTGGTCACTCTGAATTGTTTTGCTAATTCTCTCTCTTTTTCACAACTTAACACCCATATTGTGCAATTTGCAATTTCCTATAACACATAATCAAGACGTCATTTACACTTCCCTTAAGTAAACTGAATGGACTCAGATACCTTTATTTTCTGCTCTGAAGGTCTGTCTAGTTTTCCTTCTAATCAGTGCACTTAATCTCTGCATTGGTGACTTTACACTCCACCCCATTCAATGTACTCTGACCACCTAGTACTGGCTTAGAGCCCAAACAAATGCTTAAAATCGCTCATATCTCTTATACCACCCTGTAGCTACAGATCCAGATTCTCTGCCTTACTTCCTCCGATGAGGTGCAAGGTCTCCTCTCACTCAATGGTTCAGATCAGGTGCATTCACTTACTACCCTATTAATACTAATAAGAGTACTTTAAGCTAACATAGAATCATAGTTCAAATAGAGACTTTCAAAGGGTAAGAAAGATGAAACAACTATCATGCATCACCATGTGATGCAGTATTATGTGACCTGATATAAGAAAAAAATAAACAGTCTGAATATACTACTGTGTTATCTCCATGGCCATGAGTTAGTCACTCCAAAGGTCTTCAGCATGCTGCACCGTAAATCATCTTACACAACCATCTAATGAGCAAACAGCCACAAGTATGTACTTAATGCCGTTTCTCTTACACTCACTTGAATATGGTTCTTGCTGGTAAAATAATCTCATTTCAAGACCTCCTGCAAGTGAGAGATTATCATTTGAAACAGAAGCTATTCCAATTAAAAGTCTACAAGGTTAATAGCTTCTGGTGATCCATTAAGAGACATTACAGAACAGATCCCATCCTTATCACAGTATCACAGTATGTTAGAGATTGGAATGGACCTCAAAAGATCATCTAGTCCAATCCCCCTGCCGGAGCAGAAACACCTAGATAAGGTTACACAGGAACGTGTCCAGGCGGGCTTTGAATGTCTCCAAAGAAGGAGATTCCACAACCTCCCTGGGCAGCCTGTTCCAGTGTTCCCAGTGTTCCATCACCCTCACTGAGAAGAAGTTTCTTCTCAAGTATAAGTGGAACCTCTTGTGTTCCAGTTTGTACCCATTTCCCCTTGTCCTATCATTGTTTGCCACTGAGAAGAGCCTGGCTCCATCCTCGTGACACTCCCCCTTTATATATTTATATACACTAATAAGGTCACCCCTCAATCTCCTCTTCTCCAAACTATAGAGACCCAGCTCCCTCAGTCTTTCCTCATAAGGGAGATGCTCCACTCCCTTAATCATCTTAGTTGCCCTGCGCTGGACTCTCTCCAGCAGGTCCCTGTCCTTCTTAAACTGAGGGGCCCAGAACTGGACACAATATTCCAGATGAGGTCTCACCAGGGCTGAGTAGAGGGGAAGGAGAACCTCTCTCGACCTACTAACCACCCCCCTTCTAATACACCCCAGGATGCCATTGGCCTTCTTGGCCACAAGGGCACAGTGTCGGCTCATGGTCACCCTGTCGTCCACCAGGACCCCCAGGTCCCTCTCCCCTACACTGCTCTCTAACAGGTCGTTCCCCAACCTATACTGGAACCTGGGGTTGTTCCTGCCCAGATGCAGGACTCTACACTTTCCCTTGTTATATTTCATCAAGTTATTCCCCGCCCAACTCTCCAGCCTGTCCAGGTCTCGCTGGATGGCAGCACAGCCTTCTGGCGTGTCAGCCACTCCTCCCAGCTTAGTGTCATCAGCAAACTTGCTGATAGTACACTCAATTCCCTCATCTAAATCATTGATGAATATATTAAATAATACTGGTCCCAGTACCGACCCTTGAGGCACTCCACTAGATACAGGCCTCCAACTAGACTCCGCCCCATAGACTACAACTCTCTGGCTTCTCTCCTTCAGCCAGTTCACAGTCCACCTCACTACCCAATCATCCAGACCACACTTCCTCAATTTAGCTGCAAGGATGCTGTGGGAGACCGTGTCAAACGTTTTGCTGAAGTCAAGGTAGACCACATCCACCACTCTGCCATCATCCATCCACAGTGTTATTTCCTCATAAAAGGCTACGAGATTGGTCAAGCATGACTTCCCCTTGGTGAAGCCATGTTGACTGCTCCCCATAACCCTCTTATCCTTGATATGCCTTAAGATGGCACCAAGGATAAGGTGTTCCATCACTTTCCCAGGAATGGAGGTGAGGCTAACCGGTCTATAGTTACCCAGGTCCTCCTTCTTGCCCTTTTTAAAGACAGGAGTGACATTTGCTTTCCTCCAGTCCTCAGGCACCGTTTCCCAAGACTTGGTAAAGATGATGGAGAGCGGTCTAGCAATGACCTCCGCCAGTTCCCTCAGCACCCGCGGGTGCATCCCATCTGGACCCATGGATTTATGGATTGATTTATGCATTTATTTATGAACAGCAACAAAACTGACAGTAAAAAGTTAGTCAAACAGACACAAAAAACTTGAAATACTTAAGGATTACAAGAAACCGAGGTATCAAGAAATACATAAGGCTGATTTTTATTCTTTGTAGATATCCCCCTATGGAGACAGGCTGAGAGACCTGGGCTTGGACAGCCTGGATAAAAGAAGGCTCCAGGGAGACCTTCCAGCAGCTTCCAGTACCTAAATGGGCTACAAGAAAGCTTTAGAGGGGCTTTGGACAAGGGCTTGTAGGGACAGGAGAAGGACGAATGGCTTTAACTTGACAGAGGGGAGACTGAGATGAAATCTCAGGCAGAAGTTCTTCCATGTGAGGGTGGTGAGGCCCTGGCACAAGTCGCCCAGAGAAGCTGTGGCTGCCCCATCCCTGGCAAGTGTTCAAGGCCAGGCTGGATGGGACTTGGAGCAACCTGGTCTAGTGGAAACGTGTCCCTGCCCATGGCAGGTGGTTGCAACCGGATGAGCTTTAAGGTCCCTTCCAGCCCAAACCAGTCTGTAATTCTATGATTTATTACACAGGTTGTACCACTCAGGTACAACCTAAGCTACAATTATATGCAGACCAAAAGAGGTGGTCATCACAGGCCCCTTACGACTCTACAGCCACACATTCCCCAGGACTTTGTACTGGTACACATTCTCATCCTACAGGAAGCGAAGAGCTAGAATGATAATCATATATTTTAGAGAGAGAACAAAGTTAGCTGTCTGCTTGTTTCTTCACCAAAACAGGTCTCCAAAGCAAAACAAGCATCAACCCACAACAAGGTCCTGGCAAAAATCTGTAACTCCATCTGCTACACTCTAATTACCTACACAAAACACTGAGGAGTTACAGATCTGCAAGTTAAGCTCCCAACTTACTGCAATCAGAATTTTGAGCATTTTTAAGATCAGCAATTTATTTTATTTTTTTTAAGGAAACCCCTAATTGTTAATGAAGTAATTGAACAAATATCACTAAGAAATTAAAGATGTCTCTGAAACAACTTTCATCCAGGTTTCTCAATGACATCAGAAGCTTTAATTAAAAAAAAAAAACAAACTCATATTTCAGAAAATATACCGAGGAAAGTAACTACTTCATTTATCTTTATCTTGCACTTAAGAAAACCTAGAGATTATCCATTATTCTGCACTCTTAAGTGGCACAAGACAAATTTTGAATTAAACATATATGCATTATTAGATTGTAATGCTGAACAGGTAGATTAGAAGGATGAATATCCACTGTACACTGTTGGCTCATTGTCTTCTCTGAAAATGAACTCAATGCAGATTGTAGAACTGAAATCATATGCAAATATTTACATATATTTAATACAGATTCAATCATTTCTACAGATAGCTCAGAAAACTATCGCAATACCTCAGTCTATTGAGCCAGTAATGTTGTGACAATCTACTGTTTTGAACTAAAATAGTTCTATTTGAGTTAGTAAAGCATCCTGAACAACTAACATCACTTTGAGCAACTACGATATTATTTATGTAATTTCATTACTCTTTTCAGGAAGTATTTTACAGGTTTTCAGCTTTTTCGAGAAAAACAAAGAGAAACAAAAAACCCAACAAACACCCCAAAACACAACAAAATCATCTTCAGCCCCAACACAGGATAAGCAGAAGCTCCTTACCTCTCTTGAACCTCTCTGTCCATAACCCATGTATCTGCATCACCGAATAACTGTAAAAGCTTCCTGGTTTCTTGTATGGTTTCAAATCCTCTTTCAGCAGCAAGACCAAGTTTTATTTTTTGCTCCCTAGATTTGCCTACGGCCAATCCAAATATTTACATTAAACAAGGAATGGGTTAGAGCTGTGAAAAAGCTCTAGTGATATTTTATTAAATGGCTCCTTGTTTCCCTGACCAAAAGAAGTCTGTAGAAACCATTTTTAGCAAACTGCATTTGTTCTGAATATATTAAGCATTATACTTCTGACAATCTGAAACCAGCAGCACCATCAACTGTGGTTTTTTTAAGTAGGTAGAAATTTCAGAAGAAACACCCACCATTCCCCCCCCCCCCCACCTCAATTCTACAAAATCATACAAAAAAGCAAAGGACTGAGATGGGAGAGGGAAATTATTGTTCTGTATGGGAAAAAGGAACAATGCTGGGGATGGAACACGAGACTAAAGCTGCAGATGTCTCCACTGAAGGTTTTATATAAACTGTTTTGTAAACAGCTCATCCCTCTACTGTTCCTTACATCACAAGAGTTAACATCTGCTTGGTGACTCTGCACAGAGCAGAACTTACCTGGGTTTAATACAGCTTTTCCTTAGTTATTTTTCATCCAGATGAGTTCCTCATGTAGACATACAAAAAAGCATGCCAGCACACCAGAAAGGGCAATGCACAAGCAGGAAGAAATCAGTACTGAAAAGAAAAGCACAGGGAAGCTTAACCTGTATGTCCAGCAGCCACCTGCAGGACTTAAGCTAATCTCCTCCTTGCTGCTGTCACCTCTTACATATTTAAAGGCATGGACCTTCTGTTGACTAAGCAGCATTATGTGTTGTCTTCTGAACATATTTTTTTGAGTTCTGAATACACTGGACTCTCTCAAAATCAGTTCACATATTTTTTTTTAAATAAACTATTAAAACACCATGTTCATAACTGTATCTGAGGCAACAGTGCAGTGAGACATACAATCTGAGGCTCTCAACAGCTCCATTGTATAAATTGTTTTCAAAGTAGAAAGGTTTAAGTTTTAAACGTTTTAATCACTGTCTATGATATGCTTTCAGGTTAAGTTAAATATTTATGTGTGAGGAGACTTGAAAATAAAATACAAATCATTTTCAAAAGGGTAATCAAAGCTCAAAATTACCATAACAATAACAGCTACTAAAGCTACTATCTAATATTGTGAAACTCAGTTTAAAGAGCAAGATCCGAGAAAGATTTACTTCAGAAAGTCAAGTGTAGACAGGGGGATGCAGATGGTTAAATGAGGTAAGGTAGTTTAGTTTTAGAGATTCAATTTCATGGATTACTGCATCAAACTGGCCTGTTACTTCCTTATGAACAGATGACTGCCTACTGTATGAGTAAACTATGCAGCTGGATGTCAAAAGAAGTGCTGGAGTGCTCACTTACTACTTCTTCAGTCAGAAACAGACTGAAAGCAAAACACTGAGGAACAGAAAGAGGTCACGCTGTGAATATTTGATACCATTACAGGTCATCATTTCTGATCACACAATCTGTCCTTACGTGCATCTTGCTCCCTTAAGCAGCAGCTCATCTCACTTGAAGAACAGAACACACTGATCACAAGGGCTTCCAAGTACACAGGTTAGCCAACATCCACTTTTTTTTTTTTTCCCCAATCAACAGTCAGCTCTGCTCTGTTAACTTCTGTTTGAGGACAGAGTAGTACTTCTTATTGAGCACTCTAGGTAAGCATTTGATGTGTTTCTTAGCAAACTCACCTTAAGTTCTTATCTTTCAAAGCTTTTACTTGTGTCCTGACCAGCATTCATCATTACCTTACCCAAGTGCTTAACTGGAAAACTAACAACACTTCATTGCTCTGCCAGGCAGCAATCACCAAGGAGAACCCAGGAAGCCAGCACTTCCAACAGAAAATGTGAACTGCACTGAAGTGAGCTATTCTGTGCCAATCCCAGGAACAATTCTGAACAGTTAGTATTTAGGTCACATCAACAGCTGATCAAACACCCTTCTCTACCTTCTGAAGCCTTCAAAAGGCAAGCTTAAATTGAAGAAAAGAGTAACAAAGGTTTGCTTATGTTATTTTCTCAGTCAGACTAAGTTTGGTCTCTGGCAAACTCCTAATACTGCACTTTAAATTGCACAAAGAAAGTATCTTAAGAAACAGAGGCAAAAATTCTGCTACCTACCTGTTACCTAAAGAAAGCAAATACTGTGATCTGGATGAACTGCAATGAGTGCAAGTGCCTCGGTGCACTTCACAGGCCACTTCCTTTATAAACTTTATGAATCACTCTTAACATAACAGGCACATTTGCCAGCGTTCAAACCCAACATTCTACGAGGGACTTCCCAACACTTAAAGAAGGAGATAACACATATTTGCCAGGGTAGAGAATGTTGAAGTTACCGGGTGGACTGACAACTTATTTTCAAATACAGTCTCTCTGTATGGAGGTAGGCAGTAGTTTTCAGTGGTGATAACTTGTAAAAAAAAAATAATAAGTTAATTATTACCAGCTAACCAGTTTAATGTCTGATGAGAAGCTGCCTTTGGATGTTCAAGAATCCTTGAAGAACACTCTCCATAGTGTTAATAATAAGTATAGGCATTACCAGGTCTCCAGCTAGTTACAGCTAATCATCACTGCAGAATCAGCCCTGCTTTTATTTGGAGCATGCTAAAACAAGAAAAGATCAGGTTTAGAGATTAAGAAAAACACACACACACACACAGGTCTTTAGCCCATCTTAATTTTAGATTACCAGGAAAGTCTTTTTGTTCACTGCAAAGTTACATCATTTCAGCTCCATGATTGTGTTTAACCATACTTAGGCTGTGCAGAAAGCTATACTGAAGTTTTTATCTTTGCAATAGGATTCAAGTAGCTTTTTTCTAGCTTACCACCCATAAGCTACCATAGTTAGAACAAAGACTCTAACAGAAATACAACCATTAAGAAGTAAACTCACAGAGCTCTAGAAATGAAGTGCTGCAGCAAACCCAGTATGCTTCTTCTCCCACCTTAAGGGTACCTAATTATTTAGGTACTACCTTTCTCTTCCTCTCCTCCCCTCTCATACTGCTACACCATACACCTACCCACCAATTCAGGGCCCCACAGACAGGAAAAAAAACAACAACCTAACAAAACACGGGTACAAATGACTGCCCTTGATGTTCATCAGCCATCCACTTACCAAGGAACTTCATTACAACTCAGCAAATGCTTTGTTAAAACTTGAATGTTGTCAAATAAAAACTAAAAGAATTCCCACTAAGCAAGACAACATATTATCCAACCCCAAAACTGCACCAGCTGCTGCTACTGCAAATTTACCAGCTGAATCAGGGGGTGAAGATAAAAGTTTCCAGACACACAAGGAAAAGCTTAAATGGCACACTGCAAAAAACTAAACTTCCTTGCTTAGAAAGAGCAACATTCTGTTTATTCAACCAGATTTCTCCAAAAATCCATTAACAATTACGCATGTTCAGCAGTGCTCTGACACATAAGCAGTGCCATGAGCGTCAGGCCCACAGCTGAAGAATCCACTTGCTCAACCAAACAAACACATCTGTCTCAGACTGCCCACAGTGCCATCATCATTAGTTGTATCAGCATTTATTACTCAGCATTAGAAAATGAGTAATGATAATACAATTCTTGTACCAGGTCTGAAAGATCACTACCCAATGGAACCAATGTTCCCTTAATATTCTCAACTTCTCTGATTTGCATTACTAATAACCAGGTATTTGTCTTAGTCAACCTCAGCAATAGATACTAACAGCCTACAGTACTGGCAGGCAACTTCTCTGAGCTCTGTTTCTTTCTACAGGATGCACCGATAAACCAGTTCTCTGCCATTATAGCTTATATTTAAATATAGACTGAGAATGTTTCATAGTTTATCCAGAAGCACATCTTAAAATATTTAATGCCTGTAAGTGTATGGTACAAGCATGTACATTATACTTTGTATCCCCTATAAAAATCAATGAAACAAGAAGCAAAACCAGTAAGGAATACCCTAGGAGCAACCAAATCATCTAAGCAATCTAACATGCAATACACATCAAGAACTGCTGTAAGAACAGCCAGTGGCAGACTGCATCCTAAAACACAAGGATTTGTTTTTCATTGAGTCACAGAATGAACCAGGTTCGGAAAAGACCTTCAAGATCACCAAAAAGTCCAACTGTTCCCCAGTACTGCCAATGCCATCACTAAACCATGTCACTGAGGGCCTTGTCTACACAATTCGTGAACACCTTCAGGGATGGTGACTCCAATACTGCCCTGGGCAGCCTGTTCCAATGCCTGACCACCCTTCTGGGGAAGAAACAGTCCCTAATATTCAATCTAAACCTATCCACTGGTGCAGCTTGAGGCCTTCCCCTCCTGTCCTATCCCTTGCTCCTTGGGAGAAGAGACTAGTCACCTCCTGGCTCCATTCCCCTTTCAGGTAGCTGTAGAGAGCAATAAGGTCCCCCCTGAACTTCTCCAGACTAAACACCCCAGTTCCCTCAGCCATTCCCCATCACACTTGTGCTCCAGGCCCTTCACCAGCTCCACTGCCCTACTCTGGACCCGCTCCAGCACCTCAATGTCTCTCTTGTAGTGAGGGGCCCAGAACTGAACACAGGATTCGAGGTGTGGCCTCACCAGTGCCCAGTAAATGGGGATTATTTTCTTTCATTACCATCTTCTATTTCCAGAGAGTGTATTCGCTCATGCTGCTGAGGCTGTATATAATCTCCCCTGCACAAACTTTCTCTCGCTCATTACAGCTTATCAGTTCTGAAGTAAACAAGCCCCTCTTCAGGTCCGGAATAAAATTCAGCGCTCAATACGTAGTACGTTTTCCTCAACTGAGATAACACATCTATGCCACACCAGGCAAGACAAAGGTCCCTGACACCTACAAGACGGAGCCGATCGCTGCAAAAGGAACACTAACAAGCCATCACCCGCGGGGTCAACCGCGACACCAGACGCACCAGAACTAGGCCCAGCTCCCGTTCCACCCCACCCGGCCGGGAGCCTCGGGAGGCGGCGGGACCCGAGTGCCAGTGGCGATGCCAGGGAAAGCGGACCGGGAAGGCCGCAGCTGGAGCAGGCTGGGAGACGGGAAAGCCGCCCGGCGGCACGATACCGACGACTGCACCGGGACTCGCATCCCCCGCCCTCAGCCCCACCACAGCTGTACTAGCCCCACAACCCCAAACTCACCCCTGGGGGGGGGGGGGGGAGGCCCGGTGCAGAATCTGAGCACCGCCCCCCACCACCCCACTTACCTCAGGGACCGCCCCTCCTCTGCGCGCCCAGCCACTGTTCGCACGGCCACGCCCCCACACGCCTGCGCAGTCGCGGTGTGGGCAGCGGGAGCAGGTGAGGCGGGAAAGCAGCGGTGCTAGCTTGTGATTGACGCGGCCCTACACCCGCGGTACCGGAATCGGCCGGCAGAGGGCGCAACACAAGCTGGGACACTTCCCTTGATGTCACCCACGTGACGTCACAGTCCCTCCACCTCGTCTGGGAATTAGTGTGACATTGGTTATGTCTGGTTGTTTCGGCAAAGCAACAGGCACCTTGCTGCTTCTGCAACACTGGAGATGGCAGCAGCAAACGCTCTAGCGTGGGCCAGTACTCAGTAATTTCATCACAGGACATTTTTAAGTATTTCACAGAATCCCAGACTGGTTTGTTTTGGACTTTAAAGCTCATCCAGTTCCAACCACCTGCCACAGGCAGGGACACCTTCCACTAGTGCAGCTTGCTCCAAGCCCCGTCCAACCTGGCCTTGAACACTGCCAGGGATGGGGCAGCCACAGCTTCTCTGGGCACCCTGTGCCAGTGCCTCAGCACCCTCACAGGGAAGAACTTCTGCCTAAGAGCTCATCTCAGTCTCCCCTCTGTCAGGTTAAAGCCATTCCCCCTTGTCCTGTCCCTACAGGCCCTTGTCCAAAGCCCCTCTCCAGGTTTCTTGTCACCCCTTTAGGCTCTGGCAGCTGCTTTAAGGTCTCCCCTTAAGGAGCCTTCTCTTCTCTAGGCTGAATAGTATCCTTCCACAACACCCTTTTTAAAAAAAGAAATTATTGCCACAGATGGCTACTAGATCACCACAGTTTCATCTGCTTTTCTACGTGAATCATTTTCTTCACAGTGCCCTTCAGAGGGCCAGGAGTGTGATTTTTGAAGCATTTTTACCGGATTGTCACATGTTTTTGCACTGTGAACTGGGGAAACACTGCTTTGAGAGCAAGGGTTTTGGCAGCAGGCACATTCGGGGCCCGATGACTCCTGTATTTGTACTGATGAGTACATAGCATCCCATTTCCCGTATCCTGTTCCGAATCATCTACTCTTGCCTCAATTGCTCGAGCTAGCATGTAGTTAACCTTTCTTTGATGGGCCAGAGCCTCCTCTTTGTCATTTACCTGAGTATTTATTTAAAAGAGGAAGAAAAGAAAGTAGTTTATAAGCTAAGAAAAAGCATTTTGTGTAAAATGACAGATTTGGACTCATGATGAATATCTAGCAGAACACTAACCAGATCTATTAACATCTTCAGGATTTCATTAGGATTGTCCAGCTCTTTAACTTTCTTGCCATCCGCCTCTGATGACAGCAGGCTGGATAGTTTTTGTCCCAGACTGCTCTTGTTCCCTTGTAATGTGACATGCCCTAAGGAAAATAGAAGTACACAAACTGTGGCATTAGTGAGAAAGAGAAAAACTTCCTAAGGAACTGTGGAACTAAGGACCCTGACTAATTTCCTCTTAAAGGGCAATGCAGTCTACAGCTTCTCTCATTCTAAGGAAAAAAGAAAAAAAATAAATATATATGTATATCTTTGACATAAGCCACTCAAGAGATTCTAAGATTTCTAAAAAGTTTAAAATACATACATTACACAAATTTAAGGTATCAGTATATAGAGCTTGGAAACAATGATGTCAGCACTCAAGATGTGTGCTGTTTTAATATTACGTGACAAGGGTGCTCAAGGAATTTAGGCTGGGGGAAGTGAGGTGTTTAGTCTGAAGAAAAGAAGATTCAGGGGGGACCTTAATGTTCTCTACAACTACCTGAAAGGAGGATGAAACCAGCAGGTGACTGGTCTCTCCTCCCAAGGAACTAACAATATGACAAGAGGAAATGGCCTCAAGCTGCACCAGGAGATGTTTGGACTAGCTTTTAAGGACAATTTCTTCCCTGAAAGGGTGGTCAGGCATCAGAACAGACAGTAGTGGAATCACTGTCCCTGGAGGTGTTCAGAAAATGTGTATATGAGGCCCTCAAGGGACACAGTTCAATGGTGACATTGGCAGTACTGGGAACACTTGGACTTGATAATCTTGAAGGTCTTTTCCAAACCTGGTTGATTTTGCGATTCTTTGATTCTAAGACCCACCTCAAAGCAAGGCATGTCCAGGTCAATGGCTAACACAAATGTATCTTAGTGCCATTCCTAAATTCTGCTATGGTTTCGACCATGACAAAAGCACTGAAGTACTTACCTTTATCCTTTATCTTAAAAAATGAAAGGATCATTGGAATTCTTCCTCTTTTACAAAGGGCTTTGTAACTCGTTTTGTAACATATGAAGTGTAAGAATAACAATAAATACTCACATAGATACACATAGAATCATGGAATAGTCACGGTTGGAAAGGACTTTAGATCATCGTACAAAAGGGACATGACAGTACTTATTTTCAAAACAAGTCAGTCACTGGAACTTCTGCAGTGGGGCCACTAGGATGGTTTCCACATCTATAGAGTTAACTATGAATTAGAAGAAAAATTCTAAAACTACAGAATTCCACTGAATTAAAAGCCTTAAGAGCTTGAAAATTACATTACTGATTGAAGAGTGATGCAAATATACAGTTTTCAGCAGATCAGCTTCCTGACCTAACTGGGCGAGCAGGCTGGTGAGTGCTGATGTCAATGCAGGGGAGGGGTAGAATGCACTGCCAGGAAGGATAGGAAAGGGTCAGTGGTAGTCCACACTCATGCTGGGCATACACTTATGGAGTGCGTACATTTAGAGTGTTCTTTACTTTTTTTTTTAAGATTAAAAAAATATGGGTGGAAGGAAAAAAATGAGAAAGATTTTTTTTGTTTGTTTCTAGTAAAGCTGATTGATAGTGTAATTACAACTTTATATCGGCAAAAGTTAGAGCATTACAAGATTACAAACAAATTCTAGATTAATTCTGAGATGCATTCTTGGTTTAAAACACATTAGTTTGTGTAAGCTGTAATAAGAGTGTTTCTGCTTTACTTAGTTTTGAGCACAAGCATGCCTCTGCATGTTCACATTTAAGCCAAGCAGTGTTACCTCTTGCTTGAGATGAAGAAGTTGCTTTTGTGTTACAGCTGCCATTTTAGCACAGGGACAAGGCTGTCCCCCAGAAGCACTGCAGGTGCAGGCTCCAAGAACCGCCAGCTGAAAATCCAAACCAAACTACCAGTTAAATATCTAAGTGCACACACAACACAATCCAAGAGATTCCAGATGACTAGCAAAAAGCATCCTGAAACTACAAAGGAAGTATAAGAGTCAGGGGAAGCAAGCTGCAAAAGATTTAGGTGTGATTGCTTTTGACCCACACAAAGTGTGAGTCACACACGAAGTGTGCTTTTTTCAGCAAGATAAACTAAAGGCAAAACCTATCAGCCTCTGGATGCTACTCCCTGAAGACTTAATTAGATTTATTTTTTTTTCAATAAGTAAATCTATAACCAAAGGGGTAAAGATTTAAAGAATTAGGAAATAAAAATTAAAAATGCTAGCTTGTGAAAAATAGCCTGATGCTCCATCTACTCTTTCTTTGCAATACAATCCACAAATTAGAATGTTAACAGGCAAGGGTATACTCTTATTAGCTAAAAATTGGTCCAAAGAAACAGTTAAATAATCAGTAGGCAAAAAAATATGTATGTATCTGGAATATAAACATATATCTGAATCAGCCATTTTGAAAAGCATGTAAGTTACACTTACTTCAAAACCTGTAAAATCTGTAATGTCACTTTTATTCAAGGACATTTTCCTGAACAACCTTCTGTTGTTTCACATCTAGCATGGCAAGAAATTCCAAGCACTGCTGATTCAGCACTATGAAATAAAACAAGGAAAGTGATTACAAAGTCTGTTGCTCTGACTTCTTAGCTTCTGAGTTTATCTACACAGAAATTAAACAGTTCTATAAAGCATCAGTTTGGGAATATGCAGATGTAGCAACTCAGATCCCAGTTTTGTTTTCCCAGGCCAGTGAGATAAGATAAATATACTTTCTTCATACCTGATCTACTTTTTAAGCTATACATACCTAACTCCTCCTGCCATTTATTTATTTTTAAGAGGGAAAAAAACCCAAACCAAACACAACTTTTCCATTGAAAGCAGGCTTCTGCATAGCCACTAAGATCATCTGCCAGTAACAAAGAGACTTTTACCAACAGAAAGCTTCCTGTTTTATTCCTGCATTATTCCTGAGAAACAACACATTAAGAAGAAAAGCTGTTGGCAGCTTACTTGCATTTTCAGCTTTAGAAATTTTAACTTCTTCTGTTCTCATTTTCAATGCTTCCTTAAGAGCTGCATTTTCACAATATATCCTGCAGAAGTTAGAAAAAGGATGTACTACCTTTTAAAATATTTTAGATTAGGATTACTGGGAAGACTGAAGAAAAAAATCAAAACTGGAAACAGCTGAGTTGCCAGTTTGACAAGATATTATCCATGCTGCATTATACAACTTGTTTTCTCACTTTTAGTATTTTTTATTGAGAAAAATGGTAGAATTTTCCCATAACAATACCTGTACCAATAATACATAGTATGCTGTTAGATCCAAATCTGCTAGCCAGGGGCCAGTGTCCAACCTGACACTCCTCCTAACCAACCTGTGTAGGCTCTGTGTAAGCTTGGTCTGAGTGGCTCTGACCCAAGGCTAAGGAAGCATGCTTTGCCACTCTAGCTTCTTGTTTTCCAGGGCTGCACGTGGCTCTGCAGAGAGCAAAACCAGGAGTCCCTGTGCTCATACAGAGGTTTCTCTTGCAATCCAGATAGCATGGGCTGTTCAAACAGGCTAGCCTTATTCATGAAACCACACCCTTACACAAGCAATCTAAATGTGTCCAAGTACATCTGAGTGAATGTCTAAAAAATAAAATTAAAAAAAAAAAAAAAAAAGATCATTCAGCAACTTCAGATTTTAACAGAAGGTGAGTTTAAGCACCAGTACCATTATAATCTCAAAGAAATTTGTAATAATGAAGCTCTGAAACATTTGAGAGAAATCGCTTTACTTCCTTCAAAGAACAGAATTATTGGCCATGTGACAACAGGCCTTTGGTCTGAATTTTATAAAACAAACTTCCTGTAGGCTGAACACTGTTCTCAGGAACAGCTGCTCTGCCAAGTGTGGCAATCTTAGAGAATACAGTATACATTTATACCATGTTTTTCCTTGAGGTATTGAAGTATTTGCTTCTTGAATGCAAAAGTGGCAATCCACTCTGTTCTTGTGAGACCTGGCTTGCAGTACTGTGAGTCATTCTGGTGCCTCAACATAAGAAGGACATGGAGCTGTTGGAGAAAGTCCAGAGAAGGGCCATGAGGATGGTCAGGGGGCTGAAGCACCTCCCATATGAAGACAGACTGAGAAAGTTGGAGCTGTTCAGCCTGGAGAAGAGAAGGCTGCTTGGAGACCTCATAGCAGCCTTCCAGTATCTGAAGGGGGCCTACAAGGATGCTGGAGAGGGGACTCTCAATTAGAGACTGTCGCGATAGGACAAGGGGTAACAGGTTCAAACTTAAACAGGGGAAGTTCAGGTTAGATATAAGGAAGAAGTTCTTTACTGTGAGGGTGGTGAGACACTGGAATGGGTTGCCCGAAGAAGTGGTGAATGCTCCATCCCTAGCAGTGTTCAGGGCCAGGCTGAACAGAGTCTTGGGTGACATGGTCTAGTGTGAGGCATCCCAGCCCATGACAGGGGCTTAGACCTAGATGATCTTAAGATCCTTTCCAACCCAAACTAATTTATGGTTCTGTTATTTATTTGGTGCATCTATTCAGATGTCAGTAATGCAGAATGCTGTGAATTCATGGGGTTTTTTTTAAATAGTAGCCTGAATTATTTCACTTGGATAAACGAAGGGAATACACATTCTTCTCATCCTGCTGTCCTGTTTTCTGACACCTGTACCAGAAAGCCTTTTTGCGAAGCAGACTGAACTTTTGGTTTGCAGTTTGCTGAAGCCACAGCTGTAGTTTTCAACAGTTAATGCCAGTTTTGTTGCTCCAGACTACCTGGGTACGCTTCCAATCTCGTAAGTCAGGAAAGCTAAGGGGGTTTTCACAAAGTATCCCTCAAGGTAATTAAGTTAACAGGTGAACAAGATCAAGTATCTTAACAAAACTCCGCTTTCAAACAAATAGTTCGTAAACTTTTGGCTTATTCTTCAATTCAAAGTTTGAAGAAAAAAAAATTCTGATGGGTAGATGTCCTGGGTTTAGCAGTGGCAGTCATTTTTCTCTTTCTTGGTAGCTGGTGCAGGGCTGTGTTTTGACTTCCGGGCTGGGAACAAAGCTGATAAAAATGATGTTTTGGTTTGGCCAAGGACTTTGTGGGCCTCATGCTCTGCCAGGGAGGAGGGGAGCTGGGAGGAAGCAGAGACAGGACACCTGACCCAAACTGACCAAAGAGGTATTCCATACCACAGCACGTCATGCCCAGGATGTAACTGGGAGTGAGCCAGAAGGACTAGGTGGACGGCAGGGTTGGAGGAGGTATCGGTCGGTGCTTGGTCAGGCTGAGGGGGGCGAGTTATCGGTCGGCTGGTGATGGGGTGTTGTATTCTCTTCCCTTGTTATTTCCTTTATCATTACTATTATTGGTGGTAGCAGTAGTGATTTGTGTTATACCTTAGTTACTAAACTGTTCTTATCTCAACCCGTGGGAGTTGCATTTCTTTTTGATTCTCCTCTCCGTTCCCCCAGGAGTAGGGGGAGCGCAAGAAGGGGGGGGAGTGGGTAACAAGCTGTCTGGCTGTGGGTTAAACCACGACAGTAGACTTCAGAGATATCATTCCTACATTTAAATAAGGGAGACTGCTGATGGCTTTTTTCAAGGCCTTTTGCTGCACTGTTAGTTTAGTGCTTCTGGCATCTTCTGATTGCCTTAACTACACCTGCTGCCTATCCACAGCAAATCTTATTTAAACAAAGAACCAGTTGATTATCCTCTCTCAAAAGCATTCGGTTTTACCTGTATGTGTGCTCACACCTTCAGTGCAAGAAAATAAAGCAATGATTAACCAGCAAATGGTATTTCCACATGCATGCACATACCTCATTTACACTGAAAGTAAAGAACAGTCTGGTTCCAGCTGGTTAGCATAATAATATAACAGGATGAAGTGAAAATTCAGCCTACCAAAGCTAGAAGTTTCAACTGAAATATACAAATGTGACTAGCACGAAAATTAAACAAATATTCCCAAATCTGGAAGGAAATCAGGAAAATATGAAAAACCCTGAAAATCCAGTGAAGTAAACTTGGAACACAGGAAAGACATATAGCATTCAATGCAATTAAAAGAACTCACAAAAATACACAGTGTAAATCAAATACCTGTAATATTTTTCTGTCCATGTGTCTTCCACGTTTTTAAATTGATCCTGATCAAATTCAATTTCCCATTGCAAAATATTTATTTCCTGTGGAAACAAAACAAATCTGCAGCAGTTTATTACAAGCCTCCTATTGAAAGGAAGAATAACTGCTGGTGCTGAGATTAGCACTGGCAGAAATGTAGGTGACCAATGACGATGACAATCTATGATACTGCTAAAAATACATTTGGTGCCGCACACCAGAAAATTTCTGCATCACTGATCTGTGGATCAGTGTTGCATGAACTGATGCTTGTAGTGGCTTATGAGAAAAACAAACCCACACTGCCATGTTTCCCTGCCTACTTACTGTTCTGTGGCAAGGTCACACAGGAAGAGAAACAAAGCACAGAAACCAGTTTAACAAGGTAGCTCACTGCCACTGTCTTCCTCCTCCTCCCCATCTTCCCTATGAAAATTGGGCACCAATTTCTTAAACTTACTGCGAAGTTCCAGCTTCATAACTAAGAAATAGTGCAACTCCCTATGAATGATTTTGAAACTCACAACAAAGACCAACAGAAATTAAACAGCTTTAGTAACCTTCATGTACTATTTCTACACACTGTATACAGCATCAAAAAAATCAAAAAAGTGATGCATTAACATTTTCCCTTTCTACTAAAAAGGAATAATAATAATTAAAAAAAAATTGAACTAATGACAGATTTGTTCTAATCAAAATAAACAGTCTGATAACCCAATTTTAATAGCAACAAACTCTGTGTTCTTAGAGAGGCGTGAAGGAAAAATGCACCCTTACCTTTTCTAAAGTTCTCTTTTCTTCCTCAGTCTTTTGAAGCATTGCTTTTGTGTGACTAGTGGCTTTATTAAATACTGCCTGCAAAACAAAAACAAAACCAACAACAAACAAACAAAGCACAAGTCCTTAAAATACTGTAATTAAGTTTAGTTAATTTGGCTGTAGACAAATTTTTAGTGTTACATCATGAGAAATTCAAACTCAGAGTTAAAAAGGAGTGTGCAAAATTACAAACACTAGCAACTTACTTGTGGGTTTTAATTTCAAGTCACATAATGCTACGTTGCATTAACAAACTTGTGTTTCAGTCCCACAATCTTTTGTATTGGAAAATGTAGCATTCATTTAAGATGACATCATGTTTCTTTAGGGCTCATCCACAAAATCAGCTCTTAAACTTGGTTACAACATACCTAGACTTTGAGCCGGGTAACTTACTATGAATGTCTGAGGGTAGAAACTGCAGGCTATAAATGGGTTAAGCAAGCAGGCTAAAAAACAGGAACTGATTTCAACATAATCCATTGTGATAATGAATGAAAGTATCACAATCTGTGGACAAAACACTGACCTAACATTTAATGTATAATGTCCTCTAAGACAACATATGGAGCAGTCAACTGAAAATATCTGTGCTTTGCAGCAGAAGTTCAAGCACTGGCAGAACATGTAATTTAAAGGGCTGGAGAGAAAGCCTTGTTCTTTTAACTTAAATAAATCCTCAAACAACCTCAAAGATAAAAATGGAGAATTGCTACAACAGTAAAATCTTCTTCAATAACCACAATAGCTCCATGAAGTAAAAGTCGTAGAAGCCAAGTGTGTAAAATACTTGCAGATTCAGTGTTTTAAAGTCCTGGTAAATACAGGTTCAGGGAGTTTTAATGAGGAGTGGCAGAAAGATTTCTTTGATTTCTTCTGTTCTTCTTCCTTTACCATTAATGATTTCTGAAAAACTCCTACCATGCTCTGCAGAATTCTTAGGGCTTCATCTTTTCCTTCAAGTTGTCTCTGAGATGCTTCAAGATCAACTTTCAAAATGTCAACTTCCTGAAGCAAAACAAAATAGGTACACTGATAAAACCCAAGGTAGTCGTGTTAAAACTCATAAATGTAGAGGGCAATGTAAACTTGCCCTCTTCAAAAAACCAGTGTTCTGCTTCTATACTATATGATTCTTTCCTGAGAAGTAGCTTGCTTACAATGAAGAAATGTTAACAGCACATGCTAGCACCAAATCCTTGAAGAATACTTGTAATTATTATTCTTTCTGTTCTCTTCCAGGATATTTGGAAAATAAACCACTGCAGTTTTGCCTTGCTAAAGAAGATGCATGTATCAACATAGGTCCTGAGGTTTAAAATAAGGAAACAGAACAGTTTTCCTATATTGCAGTATCAAATACTACAAATACATACTAAAATATAAATGCTCTATTAATATGACATACCCTAAATATAGCATATAAAACATCTATACTCTATAGTGTGAATATCGTGTTACAACATTTGGATTAAAACCCCTACCTTGTCCACAACAAAACCACTGTCCACACAGATCCCTGCTGTAGTCACCTGACAGTCATACCCTTGTGCAACATTCCCCCCTTTGGAAGAAAGCAGGGTATTTTTCTAGTTTCCAATAGTTAAAATGAAATTTACTGCTTTGTGTACTTATTTTTCCTTAACCTCTATGTAGGTCACTCAGTTGTTCACTTGTTGTTATACAAAACTTTTTTTCATAGTTCTTTCAGGCCCGCAGCAATTGATACTAAATTTGTACTAATTTACACTAATTGATACTAAAATTGTACCTCAGAGCAGTGGCATTTCTTCAGTTTTGTCTAACTGAAAATGAGTAAGGTTCCTTGATGTTTTAACTTGCTGTGCACTGAAGGTTCTTCATGCTAAGAAAACCTGACAGTGACCTACTACAGGATATCCTGGGGTTAAAGAACACAGTACAGATGAAGTCGATACCCTGACAACTGAGGCCACCATGCTCTTTCTGCCCATACCGATGCCAACATATCAAAATATTTAACCACAGTAAAATTAAAATGTAGGCGTTAACTACCTTTCAGTAAAAATCCAGATTAAAACCCCAAAGACTACTCTGTTTATACTGAAGATTTTCAGGCCCTGAAGCTTAAATAAAGAAAACCTGCTAGAAAAGTAGTATGATCCTTTCAATATTATCTACATCTCTACGCTTTTCAAAATACTTCCTCTACATTCTCCCCATCACAAAAAAAAAAATATTTTTGTGTCATAAAATTGAATGAGGCTTCCAACTACTGCACTGGTTACAAAAATCTGAATCCATCCCTGATTCTGGACATGCCAAGATCTTCAGCTAAACCAACACTTTGCTATGTTAAAAGGAAATGCAGATTTCAACAACAGCATACTTGGCACAGTCACCTCTACAGCCCCCCGAAGTTGTTGCTTTAGTTCTTCATTTGGCACTTCAGCATTAGATTCTGTAAGATTGATAGCAGATACTAAATGCTGAGAAACTGTAATATTTACAAAAGAAAACATGAGAAGTTGCTTTACCCTGAAAACTGATAACATTCAGAGGTATATTTTTTCTTCAGGAGCCAATTAAAAGACTTAAGAAATACAGAAATACTAAAACCAAACACATTGTTTCACAGTTAAAGAAGTGAAATGGGGGGGAAAAAAAAAAGGTCAGCTATAATGAGACCTAAAATAAGGACAGTTGTTTTAGAATTTCATAAAAGAAACCAAACCCACACCCACAAAAGAAAATCCACCAAACAAAACCACAAAGCTGCCATCTTGATTAAAAACAACAAACCAAACTTTTTTTTTAGCTTCTTTTCAGATTGTAACTTTTAAACAACCACAGTCAACAAAACAGCATCTAGCACTATTTAGAATTAATGTCAGTTTTCAAGATTGGAAGATAAAGTATGTTAGTGGAATATCCCACAAGATTCAGTATTCCTCTACACAAGAAGTTACTACTTCTCTTAAACTAAGCAGGTTAAGATGCAGCCTTCTGCTAAATCCAAATCATGATGCATGTGGACTTTAGTCATGCTTTCATGAATGCTGCTGTGTGATAGACCTAGATCTAAGACAAGAATCACACAAAGATGACCAAAGATCATGCAAAAAGACCAGCATAAGGGCAGTGAAACCAACAGGAATTATGCTGTTTTCCTGACATCTTTGCACTGAAGATGATGAAACTGATAAAGAATAATTACATGTCTTATCTTATAGTGGTGTCTGGAGAGGATAGCAGGGACTTGTTCTAAAGGAGAAGAATAAGCAAGTTACAAAATACTAAAAATGGCTAAAAATGTGAGGGAAAGCAATTGATGCGGAATAAACAGCACTGCCTATATTTGATTTTATCCACAGCAGTGTTATCTTCACCTAATAAAAGAGAAAGGGAAAAAAAAAAAAGACACCACCGGAGAGCTGAGATGTGCAGATTCCAAAACCAACTTCTTAACATCAAAAATATGCCAACAGCAAATGGGGTTTTGAATATTTAGCCATAAGCTTTCACAGAATCATAGAACCACACACCGGTTTAGACTGGAAGGGACTTTAAAGCTCATTCAGTTCCAACCCCTTGCCATGGTAAGGGACGCTGAACAGGTTGTTCCAAGTCCTGTCCAACCTGGCCTTGAGCGCTGCGAGGGATGGGGCAGCCACAGCTTCTCTGGGCAACCTGTTCCAATGATAGAACCTCTAGGAAAACACACTTAAACCAGGCATCCAAGGAAGTCCATTAAATTTCATATCTATATTTAGAGAAAACCAATGCTGTCCCCCACCACAGATGTTCTTTTCTAAATGTCACTTTCAAAAGCAAAACTAAGCACTTTAAAAATGGTCAGTTTACACTAGAAGGGCCACAGCCTCACTTACTAAAAAGCAATTTTGCTGCCAAATGGTTTGGAAGGTCTAGGCACAGAGACTACTCTGTGTCTCCTACTGTGACACTAACAGCAACCTTATGAGCTGCACAAACCACCCTGTGAGGCTGCACTGGATCCTAGCAGTCATGTGCCTTGAGCCACCAGAGATGTCCAAGTGTTTTAGCACACACTTTGCCTTGAACTTGTTGACACCTTGTGAAGCAAATGAACTGCTTGGTTTTGCTAACGGGGTTTTCTCATGGTAAATAATAAACACTCAAATTACTCTTACCACACCTACGTTGCTGTGTGGAACTAGTAACAAGCTTTTTCGATGATCCATTGTAAAAACCGTTTTGTTTTGAGCCAAGAAGAGTTGCAGCATCACTTTCTTCCACTCTCTTTGCTGACAAGAGAGAATGACAAGCCTTTCCAGATCCCTTCCTAGATTTAAATGAATAGCAGCTCTGTAAATTTTTCCCCTCATAAACACCTCCGGGTCTTCTTCCGAGGCCGTTTCCCAAATCTCCACATACCATGTCATCCTCTTCTGCTTCCTCCATCTTCCGAGTTTTGGTTGGTCGTCTTGTTTTCTGACGTGGAGGACTTCACTTACCGGCGATGTGAACAGCACCTCCCGCAAAACACGGATTCTACCTAGAAAAAAAAAAAAAACAAAACAGGAAAACTCCGTCATGAAAGCAGCAGAACAGCACTAAAGTGAAAGAACCTGAAAGTGATGGTGCGCAGCCGCTTTCACGGCGGGTTGCGGCTGTCGGAAAACACTGTTCTGGCCGTGCGGTGAACCTTTAAAGCCGTGGGACCGCCCTGGTGAGGGTGGAACCTCTTCGGCGCCTTCCCCTCTTCGTTTCCCCCTAGTAGCGGAGCTCCCAACCCACTTGCCAAGCCGGCCGCAGGCGGCCCTTCCCGTCCTGGCGATGCTATTACCGCCCTGGGGCGGGCCGAAGCTTCGGGAGCTGGCCCGGCAGCTTGCGTGGTGGACGTGTTAACCCGTCAATGAGCAAGTCAGTTGTAAAGGATTGTGCGTGTGAAAGTTTGAAAATCTTGAGTTTGTAACGATGATGTTCCCTTACCAGCTCACAGGTGTTGAGAAGTTAGAAGACTGATGTACGAACCCTTTGGATCAGAAGAGGAGGAAAAGCTAACTTCAGAAAGATTAGAAAGAAACCCAGGGTCGAAAACACAGAAGCAGTTTTGAAAAGTGCAGGAAGACAGAAGTTAATGTCTCTAAAGGGACTTGGTTCACTGTGGAGGGCTGGAGCATGGAGACAGGCTGAGAGAGCTGAACTTGTTTAGCCTGGAGAAGGCTGCAAGGAGAGCAGCTCCCAGTGCCTAAAGGGCTGGCTGTCAAGAAAGCTGGAGAGGGGCTTCTGACAAGGGCCTGTAGGTATAGGAAAAGGGGTATGGCTTTAACCTGACAGAGGGGAGATTGAGATAAATTCAGAGGAAGGAGCTCTTACCTGTGAGGTGGAAGCTGCCCAGAGAAGCTGTGGCTGACCCATCCGTGGCAGTGTTCAAGGCCAGATTGGACAGGGCTTGGCGCAACCTAGTCTAGTGGAAGGTGTCCCTGCCCATGTCAGGGGTTGGAACTGGATGAGCTTTAAAGTCCCTTCCAACCCAAACCAGTCAGGGATTCTATGATTATAATCCTAGAAATCACACCCTGTAAGGTAAAACACCCTTGCCCACAGGGACATTAGCTCAAATAAAATGCATGTGCTGTGTCCTTAAACAGAGGGAATGCAAGAGCAAAGGGTTGGAGATACAGGGTGTTACCTACACAGAAAAGGCCTGTTACCACCATTTGAAATGTCTTACAAGGGATAGCTGGCAGGCTGATGGTGTGCTGACTTTGTGGACCTGTCCCCCAGCACCCATCTCTGTGCAAGTATAAATTAAACAATATCTTGACTCTGTTTGAGATTAGCTTGTTGCACTCCAGGTGAACAAGCCCACATTTTCACAACAGAGGGAGTGGTGGTTATGGTGCGGAAGGTCTGTACTTCACCTACAGCTTTCCCTCCAACCCAACAGCATTTAGATACACGACTTTGCTGGGCAGGATGCGGCCATTCAAAGCACATTTAGAAATCAGTGTTGCCCAGTGCACCTCCATTCCTTAGATCACCCTTCACCTGGTATCACAGTACCCCTGAAAGGAGCACATGCATGTTTATATCTTTACAACATTTGGTCCCAATTCTGCAAGGAAATCCACATTTTTTCAGCATTTCAATTTACATGAGTGTCAAATTGCTGATGTGGTATTCCTCTGTAAGTCTCACAAAATGAACAAACAAACCCACAAAACCACCCCAAAAAAAACTCTACCAAATTTGGAACTAAAATAGAACATGTAACCACAGTACCCTTTACCATAGAAATTTTCAAGGTCGTAAGAGTTTTATTATCCAGACTCATGCATATAAAAAGTTAATTAGCAAGTACTTTCTACAGAATCTTTCATGAGGCTTTACAATCCACAGTATCAGTAAGAAAGGTTATTTCATGCTCTTCCAGGACCCAGGCTTTACAAGCACTGAGAACAGATAGCTGCCAGTACCTTAAGTGTAACCATGTTTTGGATCGCAGGAGGTTTGTTATTCCCATCAAGTATTTCAGTGATAAACTTACAATGATAAATATGATAGGGGTGGGTGATACAGAGGGGAAACAGAGAAATAAAATTATTGTTTAATACACCACTCTGCTGCAGATATAGCTGATGATTCCTTACAGCGTAAGTAATTCCCAAAGTTTTGTGTAATGACTTTAAAATATCTCCCTTACCAAGTCATATCTCTTTCCTCCAAACAAAGCACCCTCCTTAAAATTTATCATACAGCCCTCACTCCATGTTAGCCTCCACATATTCAAGAATGCAGTAGAGTACAGCAGGTTTTAGTCTAACAGTTCAGAAACAGACTAACCCCTTTTCAGGACACTGTTTCAGAAATCAAAATTTGGTATAAAGCTCCTCAACTGCCACCAGTTATCAGGACTTTACAGTTTTCTTGGGGATCCTGGGGGAGGAGGCCTGGTTTTACTTGCAAGCTCAAAGAAATTCTTAATTATTTAACCTAGTTCCTGCTACTAAGGCAACTGTGACTTTCATTGACTGCAGAATTTTCACTTTGTCAGTTTTCCTGTATGCCTCCCTCAGAGGCTGTTCAAAGCCTTCAGCCTTCTGTGCTTTTGTCTGGTCCCCAGCCACGCAAAATAACAAAATTAATTTTAATGCATCATACAAGAATTAAAATTGTCAAATATTAACAACCCTCACCCCCAGAAGAGATCCAGCACAGTTCTTTTGCAGCAAATGTCAATTGTTGTCTTTTATCCATTGCTCAATCCATTGCATAATCTGATCCAAATTTCTCTCCAGGTCTTCGGGAGTATTGCTGTGTAACTGGTGTACAATTTCCTTTCTATACGACAACAGAGCTTCCTCATAAAGTGTCTGAAAAATTTCACACTGAATGTTGTCTTGCAGCTTTTTCCCCTTGTATCCCCTTAAAAACAACAGCAAGAGACAGTCTTAAGACATGTCGATAACTATATTCCACAATCAGTAATTTATACCCTAAAAAAATCTTTCATGAGGTCACACAACAGTTCTTTGTCCTTATTTATCCATACCTGCTTTCAAGTCTGTCATAGAGAAATGAATTTTCTGTACGAAGTACAAACACAATATGAAACCAGCGTTCAGGGAAGAAATCACAGCCATGATAATCAACAATAACTCCACCCTCACTCATTTTATCTTCTAGCTCATCTATTACCTACAAAAGAAACAAAGACAGGCAAGTTTACCTGAAATTACAGAAAGTCAAAGTACAAGCACGATAGTTTCAGAAGTTGGGCTTACTCTGTCTTCATCCAAAATTGGACAGTCATATTCCTCATCAAAACCTTCATACAGTTCTCCTGCAGCAAGAAGAATTTGTGGAAGTTTGTGAAGTAACAGCAGTTATTAAAATTATTTTTGTAGTTATGTTTATTTCAGGAGGATGCAAACAAAGGATAGTGCTCAGAGCAAATCCATAAAAGGATAAGTTTGTTGTTACTTAATACAAAGTGGGCCACAGTCACATAAATGCTTTTTCACCCTATGCCACCAAAAGCATTCCTGTTAAAGCAAATTCATTGCCATTCCACTTAATATACAATGCATGCACTGCAAATTGTACAAAGCAAAAATATCTTAAGTCCTTTGATGAATTATATTGTTAATATGGCCTACCATCTTTTGCCATGTCACCCACATTAACATAGGTCATCCCCGTTCTTGACGCCAGCTCTTTTCCGAGCGTGGTTTTTCCAACACCTGGAGTACCTAAAGACACAACCCCATGTAAAACATTAGGAGAACAGCGTGTAAATCCTCTTCAGATAACCTTCTACGGCATCAAAAAGGCAGCTTTTTCAGTCAATGCTGGCAAGTTTGTATAATAAAAAGGGGGCAAAACCCTGCATGATGACGAAATGTAAATAAGAACAATGTCTGGAGATGAAAAAAGAAGGCCAGAACTATGAAGAAAAGTCTCATTTTGTGCAAAAGTTTTATTCTAATCTGGATGATCACAGAATCCCAGACTGGTTTGGGCTGGAACGGACCTTAAAGCTCACCCAGCTCCATCCCCTGCCATGGGCTTAGCCACCTTCCACTAGACCAGGTTGCTCCAAGCCCCATCCAGCCTGGCCTTGAACACTGCCAGGGATGGGGCAGCCACAGCTTCTCTGGGCAACACCACCCTCACAGGGAGGTACTTCTTCCTCGGATCTCAACATCCCCTCTGTCATAAACCTTGTTTCATTCAAAGCCTAACCCAACACGGGAAACGTTAAGTTGGCACTCAGCGCAGCCCGGTCGCTGCTCCGCAAGAACCTCACACTCCAGACCACGGGTAGAGATGGGCGTCCCTCCGCCAGGCCCAACCTAAGCCGCTACCCTCCCTCCCTCCCTCCCCCCCCACCTCCCCACCCCACCCCACCCCACCCCTCCCCACCGCACCCCACAGCCGGTGCCGGTGCCGGTGCCGCGCACCCGTCAACAGCAAGTTAGGCCTCCTCATGCTGCCGCTCCACACCTGCGGCGGGCACTGGTGGCCTAAGAGATACGTAAGCGGGGGCCTTCTCCGCACAGCCGCCCGCTGATTGCGTCACTCGCTTTGCCGGGGGGGTTGGGAGGCTTCACAGGCAGGCGCGGCACGAACAGCTAAAGGCCGCCGAAGCAGAAGGGCCCCTGGGAGGCTGGTGGGCAGTGTCTTGTGCTTGCCTCAGCTCTCGGGGTCACGCCTTGTTCTCAGGCTGCCCCGAAGCGGGGTTCTCTGAGGCCGCCGCTGGGCGGGCTTGTCCGCTCAGGCCCGGCTGGTCGCAGAGCGTCCGACTGGATGATCGGCGCCGTTCGGGCTGAGGATGTCTGGAAGCTCCTCGGGAAAGCAGACGGTGCCGGCTGAGGTAGGCCTCGGGGGGGGGAGGGAGGGAGGGATGGGGATTAGCAGTGGTTTTAGGCCCGGTAATTATCCCTTAGTCTCTCTCTGGGCAGTTTCTCTTCAGGTGTGTGGGTTTTTTGGTTTATTTTAGTGTATAAGGTGTTACTTTTTTTACTAGTGTAGTGCATGAAAAAGTAACTCTCTCACAGGA